TTGTTCTGTTGTATTTTACTACTTTCAAAATAATAATAAAAAAAAAGAATATTTCCCAGTTCCATAGTAAGAGTGGAGAATGAGAAGCCCCTGGAAGGTGAGACACAGTGAGAGGGCACATGCCCAGGGTGGTCAACATCAGCAGACACAGGACAGGCACCTGGACAGGCACCTCCTCTGGCCCTTGCTGTTTGTCTCCCTGGCCTCAGCTTTCTCCTTCCATCTGTGTAGTGGGTAGAATGCATTCTCTGTCCCCACCAAAGGCGTGTCCACTTGGAACCTGAGAACTAGAGCATGTTGGGAAAAGAGTCCTTTCAGGTGTAATGAGGTGGGATCATCGTCCTCGATTATCTGGGTAGTCCCCGAGTCCTGCCGCAGGTGTCTTTAAAAGAGAAGGGCAGAAGAGCCTTGTGTGGCACTGAGGAGGCTGAAGCAGGAAGATCACGAGATTAAGGACAACTGGGATTACATAAGGAGATCTTGCCTGAAAAAACAAAATAAACTTTTTGTTGTTGTTTTGTTTTGTTCGGAGTCAGGGGATTGAATCCAGGACACCACTGAACTACATCCCCAGGCTGTTTTATTTCTCATTGTTTTTGAGAGACAAGACCTGACTAACTTGCCCAGGTGGGATTCAGAGTTGGGCTCCTCCTGCTTTGGCCTCCTTCAGTGCTGGGTTTACAGTTGTGCATCTCTATGCCTTCAGTTTTTTTTTTTTTTTTTTGGTACTGAGGATCGAACTCACAACCTCACACTTGCCATGCAGGCCCTTATGCTGCTGAGCTAAATCCCCAGTCCCTATGCCTCACTTTGAGTTTTCTTTCAGTGCAGTGATTGCAAATGCAAGCAGCTCTGAGTGGAGAGCTGGTTTCTTACCTGCTGAGTGTTCTTAGGTAGGAACCTAACATCTCAGGGCCGGGGATATAGCTCAGTGGTGCAGCTCGAAGCCCTGAATTCCATTCAGTTAAAAGACAAACAAAAAACTATCCTCTCTGTGCTTCGGTTCTCCCTATAAAATGACTGTCATGAGATGAGCTGTCTGGGAGGGATGAGGTTTGGAATAACTGAGAATCATCCACCTTACTGCTTGGTCCTAGAGGTCCACACATGCTGCAAGACAAGAGAAATGAGGGTTGGAACTTGGAGGGCTGAACAAGACAGCAACAAGTCCTCCTTCCTGGTAGGCGGCAGCGAGCCAGCAGCAGGTGAGCCAGGAAGAGAAAGTCAGCGCCTCCTGTGAGCCTATGGCGCCTGGACTGAGACTCAAACGTCCCATCCTCCCCGTTAGCAACTGGATGGCTCGAGGTCAGCGGAGTTTATACTTACTAAGGCACATAAAGCAACTCAGTGCTTGTATTGTTGGGTTGCTTATGCTGACCTGAGGCCAGAGGTCTGAGCACATCTTGGGAGGCTGACTGTATTCAACATAGCAAGTATGGGGGATCTCCTTCTATCTTCTCTTTGAAGGCAAATATTGTTTTCACTATTTTTCTTGGTCTGATCAATTGTCTTGCTCTATTCAATATTCTGTTTTGATAGGTTTTATCATGTTCTCTTTTTGCTTTGACTTTGCTGTACCTGACTGAATGGAAAACTACTGTAAAGATAACGAGATACACTCTGGTGCCCGTTACTGTTATCCCCGGAACCTGCTGTGACGCTCTGTACCGATTTCACTGCACTGTCTCAATTGGCTTTGTTCTGTTGTATTTTACTACCTTCAAAATAAAAAATAAAATGAGGTGCAGAGAAGGGAAGGCAAGAGATAAAAGTACTGTTCGGGTCCTTTTAAGGAAAAAATGAAGAGAATCGATGAAGTGTTGTAAGATGAGAATCTGGGAGGTTTCCTGGTAGAATGATTAACCAGTTGGAAATCACAATAGAACATAAGGAGTCGGTAAACGAAACAATACTATTTGTGCTGGACTTGGCTGCACATATTTTGTAATCCCCATGATTGGGAAGGCTGAGGCAGGAAGCTCAAAAGTTTGGGGACAGCCAGGCAACTTAGCTCAGCAGCAGGGCCCTCTCAGGTGCCCTGGGGACAGATTGCCCTTCGCTGCCTGGACTCTTTCACTGAGTTGTTTCTCTGATCCTAAAGGGCTCCGTGAGAAGTCTCAGCCGTGTTCCCCATCCTTCTCCCGGCTTCCTGCTGCCACTCCTGGCTCTTAGTCCCCAAGCGGTATGCCTGCCTGCTGGCTGCTGCCCCACTGCAGACAACCTAGGCTCTATCCCTGGGCCCCCAGTTACCCCCTTGCTGAACACAGTCTGCTGTTCACTCAGAATTGAGTCCCAAACACCTGTCTAGTCTTCAGTGGGCCCAGATGTTCAGTCCCGTTGGTTGCTACTTCTCCCCTTTCTCCTCTAGGCACATAGTTGTTTCTGAAATTCACTGAGCTGTTTCCTGTCCCAGGGCCTTTGCATACCCAGCTTCCCCAAACCCTGGGGGCTTTGTCTCCCATCTCAAGGCAGATTCCTAGTTATTCTTTGGGTCTTCAGTGCGTATTTGACAGAGAAGTCTCCTCTATCCCACCTCCAGTTTAATATAATGTTCCCAACTTCAAGATACTTAGCAGAGGTTTTATTTATTTACTTATGTTTTTGAGGGGAGGTCTGCCTATGTAATTCAGGCTGGCCGTATATTCACTATGTAGCCCAGGCTGGCCCAAAACTCTTGGTGATCCTTGTTTCAGCCTCCTGAATGCTGGCATTATAGAGATGCACCAGTGCACCCCACAACTTATCAGGTTTGTAGGGGCTCAAATTTTTAATCCTTAGAACCCCAGATTCCTGGGATTGCCTACAGTTTCTAGCACTCTCAGCTGCTTGGGTGATTCTTGAAATATTTATTTATTGATTTATTTTTGATGTTTTGATGCAGGGCACTTGTATGTAGTTTAGTGTCCTTGAACTCAAGGTGTAGTCCAGGCTGGCTTTCAATTTACAGTGATCCTCCTGTTTCTTTCTTTCTTTTTTTTTTAATTTTATTTTGAAAGTATACAACAGAACAAGTCAGAATAAAGCCAACTAAGATTGTACAGTGAAATTGGTACAGAACTTCACAGCAGGTTACTGGGATAATAGTAATAAGTATCATAGTATATTTTGTTATCTTTATAATAGTTGTTCTTTCAATCATGTATATCAAAATGAGATGAAATATAGAACACTATAGAACTTATCAAAACAGAGTATTGAATAGAGCAATACCATTAATCAGAAAAGAGCAAAACAATAATAAAAATATTTGCCTTCAAAGAAATGGTAGAAGGAAGTCCCCCTTATTTGCTATGGTCAACCTCCCAGGAGATACTCCGATTTCTGGTTTCCATTTGCTAATGGGGGTGGGGGGGAGGAGAAGGAGGATAGGGGAAGTGGGCTATCTGACTCTAGGCCATGTAGCAGTAGGTTCACTATTGCTAAGCAAGGAGGCAGGATGGTCATTTGCTTTCACAGTGTCCTCAGTTCCAACATGGCGTGGATCTCAGGAGACACTGCTGGTTCTCCCCCTGGAAGGGCTGCAGTGGGCTACCCTGCCTCCGCCTACCAGGGAGGGGAGGTACTGGCTTGGCTTCCCAGAGTCCTAAGTTCCAACATGGCACGGATCTCAGGAGACACTGCTGGTTCTCCCCCTGGAAGGGCTGCAGTTGATCCTCCTGTTTCAGTCTCCTGAGTCCTGGGATCACAGGTGTCTGCCACCACAACTGGTTCTTAAACTTAGGTACAGGTCCCTTTATGTTTTTAGATTACTGATTATCTCAAAAAGTGTTAATGTTGATGCTGTTTATCAATATTTACTATATTAGAAGTGAACACAGAGCTGGGTGTGGAGGTGCACACCTGTAATCCTAGCACCCTGGGAAGCTGATGCCAGAAGATCATGAGTTTGAGCCCAGCCTGGGAAATTTACCAATTTAGACAGACCTTGTCTCAAATTAAAAAAAAAAAAAAAAAAAAGAAGAAGAAGAAAAAAGAAAAAGACTGGGGACATTGTTCAGGCAAAGGCCCTGGGCTCAATCCCCAGTACTGCAAATAAATTAATATATATATACTGAGGGCTGTAATTCAGTACTGTAGGAGGCCGAGGCAGGAGGATCATGAGTGTAAGTCCAGCCCGGGCAATTTAGTTATTTAGCTAGATCCTGAGGAGAGAGAGGGGAGGAGGGAGAGAAAGAGAGAGAAGGGAGGCGTGGGAGGGGAAGTGGGCTGGGTACTAAAGACCCTGGGCTCAGGATCACTCAGAGGGCTGAGGCCCGCCTCACTGACAGAGCATTATCTAGCTCCAGAGGCTGTGGAGTCCACCCTCAGCAGTAGAAGGTCAGAAACAAAAGAGCAACCACAGTGCCCCTGCCCAAATCGACACCAAAATTAAAACAGAAATTTAAGGGCTTTACAAAGACTACAAAATAATTTCATGTTAACATAAATCCTGTGCTTTGATAAACTTAACCATATTTTGAAAAAAATCCTTGAGAAAGAGGATGTGGTTTTATTTTCCGTTTCTGGGGAGGGAACCCAACAGAGCCCATCATGGTTTCCCAAATGCCTGTGCCCCAACTCCCTGAGCGCACTAAGTGTGTAATTCACTTTCACGCCAGGCTGCATGGACGCGGTCTGCATCTGGATTCCCTCTGTCACAGTGTCCCTCGGGCTGCACACTGTGTACCCGGGAAACAAGAGTGGGGAAAAGGCAGGTACGTGTCCTATGAGGAATGGTAAGAATTTTGACCTCCTGAGAGGATAGAGGAACCCCCAGGGTTCAGAGGATCTCATTTTGAGAATCACCCCCAGGCCAGGTCCTGTAGAGCCTAGAGGCACACTTGGGAACCGGATTCCTTTAGGGCCTGGTGACCCAGGGATGAGGTCAAAGAGCCTCAATTTCCCTCTAAAAGGGAATGATGCTGAGGAAACACTCCAAGCGCATCCTGAGGCGCCCATGGGAGATAAGTCCCGGAATGGTACCTGGCCCAGCTTTGTGCAACAAACAGCTGCTATCAGAGTTCAGGAAACGACATTTTATTTTCTTACCACCACTGTGCACGCAATGCATTGCTCCCCAGGGATGTCGCACGCAACACCACCCTCTAGGCCCTGTCAGCTTGAGGTGCTCCTGGGTGGTGAGGCAGCAGAGTTTCATGGGTCAGGGGCGCCTTCAGCACCAGGTCCCCACAGTGCCTGCATCCTCCATGGCTGGGAAAGCAGGGAGGGGGAGCGCGTGCAGGCCTGGCCTGCAGCTCTGCAAAGCCACGGTGCGGGGTCGGGGTCAGCGTCGCAGCCGAGGGTGACAACAGGCTTGCACTTCTGGCTCCTTTCCTTCCACCCCACCTTCAAGCTGCTCGTCCCGTCGTTCGTCGTGCTGTGGGTGGCCGGCCACCTCGGATCCAGCCTGTCTCCTGCTGCAGACTCTTTACTGAGAGCCACCCGGCCTGAACAGTGGAGCCTGGGGCCCCCGCAGCGCAGGTGCCGAGGGTCGCGGGGTCGCGCCCAGGTGCCCCCACTGTCCGCATCCGGGGGCCCGGGCCCGGGCCCGGGCCGGGTGAGTCAGCCCCGGCTGCGCCCGCGTCATCCCGGCCGCCCAGCTCCGCGCTATTTCGGGCTCCAGGCGCTATAAATAAAGACCGGCGAGCCGCCCCACCGCCCCGGCCCCCAGCGTCCCCGGCCCGCAGCCATTGCGGGGCCGCGCGTCACGCGGCTAAGTTTAGAGGGAAGGGGGCTCGGCCCGATCACCGCGCCTCTGCTCCTCGCTCCCTCCTCATCCCCAAGCCCCGCGCTCGGACTCAGCCGGGGAACCCCGAGATCGCCAATCCGGGCCCAGAGGGGACCCGACGTTGGGGCAGGAGCAGGTCCGGGAGAGCTGCAGGCAGAGGTCCGAGTTGCGGAGGGGACTGTGAACTCCGGGCCCAGGGCGCACGGGAGAATGTGGATGGAGAGGAGGTCCGAGCTCGCAAGTTCTGGAAGCCGCGATGACTCGGATCTGGGGATCCAAAGCTCCGTGCTGGAATTCAGGGTGGAAATAAGTTTGGGAGTAGCTGGGTGTGGTAGCGCACACCTAGAATCATAGCACTCAACAGGCTGAAGCAGGAAGATCGCTGCGAATTTGAGACCAGCCTGGGGTACACAGCGGGTTCAAGACCAGCGAAAAGTACATATGGAGACCCTGTTTCTGCAAGCAAGCAAACGAGAGTAACCTAGAACCGAGGGCAACTTTTCCCCTGCCTTTAACGCATACAAACTGACTCGGTGATATTAGTCAGTGCGGCGGGGTGTTTGCCCCACTTTCGGGGCGGAGAAAAGGATGTGCGGGGATGGCCTGCAGCTGCCTTTTCGAAGTCCTGTCTCTGACAGTTGGGGTTCCAGTCTCTGCCGCTCGACTTTCCAGTCCTCTTGCGGGGCTCCGGTGCCCCCTTGCGGGACAGGCGGGAGTTGTAGGTTTGAGGCTGGCAATTTCATGGCCAGGCTGATAAACTGAGTCATGCTCTGGATGGGGAGATAAATATATATATATTTATCTATATATATTCCCCATGACAAGTATAGTTTTGTTATCCCATTATTTGGAAGGCTTAGGCAGGAGGGTTCACAAGTTGTCTGGGCAATTTAGTGAAGACTAGCATATATATATATATATATATATATATATATATATTTGTATTTTGAGACAGGGTCTTATTATGTAGTTGGGACTAGACTTGAACTCATTGTGCAGCCCAGACTGGCCTCAAATTCATTGCAGTCCTCCTGTCTCAGCCTCTTGAGCACTGGGATCACAGGTATGAGTCACCATACCTGGAGGAAAGTACTTTTTTTTTTGGTACCAAAGATTGAACTCATGACATCATACTTGCCAAGCTGGTGCTTATGCTGCTGAGCTAAACCCCTGGTTCAGAAAGTATCTTTTAAAAAGCAAGGAAATAAGCCTGATGTAGTAGCACACACCTGTAATCCAAGCACTCGGGAGGCTGAGGCAGGAGGATCATTGTGCGTTTGAGACCAGCCTAGGCTACAAAGTGATCTCAAGGCATAGAGAGACTCTGCCTCTAAAAGACACACACAAAAAGCAATAATCTATATCTATATCTAATATCTATATGTATATCTATATGCAGGACCTTAGAATTTAAAAGAGCTCTTAAAACAACACTCTAAGAGCAAGAGTCGGGAGGAAATAGATTAATAAAGCTGTGTGAACGGACACTAAAAGTGTAAGTAAACTGGATGTAGCAGTACTCTCTGGGAATCCGATGCAGGAAGATGGAAAGTTCATGACTACCTTGGGCAGTTGTTGGTTTAAGGAGACCTCACTTCAAAAGGAAAGGAAAGGAAAGGAAGGAAGGAAGGTAGGGTGGAAGAGCTGGGAAGGTAGATCACTGGAAAGGATCTGGGATCTGGGTTTAATACCCAGCCCTGAAAAAGGGTGGGAGAGAGGGAGAAACTTGCAAATAAATTAAAATGTTAAAATACAGAGTACAAACTAGGTGCGGGTGTGGGGGTGCACACCTGTGATCCCAGCATGTGGGAGGCTGAGGCAGAGGGGATTGCTGTTTGAGGCCAGCCTGGACTGAACAGTAAATTCAAGGACAGCCTGAGCTACACAGTGAGACTGTATTAAAAAAAAAAAAAAAAAAAGTACCGACTAGGAGGAAACATATTCAATATATGGAGCTGACTAAGAATTAGAACCGGGATCCAAAAAGTACTCACAAATTAATCGCAATAAAAAGGCATCCTACCCATTTAAAAAAATGGGCAAAGGATATGAGCAAGCAGCTCCTAGAACACAAATATACAAGACCAATAACCTCACTCAAAGATGTCCTGTTTCCTTAGTAATCAGGGAGCCACGAGTTGGAACAGTGTGATACCACTCTCTCAGGAAATGACTAATACCAACTCATCCCAGGGCCCGGTTCCGATGTCCTTTCCTCCTGGAAGCCCTTCCTGACGCCGGCCTGGATCAGGCACACCCACCCACCACTGCCCTGTGGGGTTCCCAGCCCTGAGCGGCCCACACGAGTAGTCACAGTCTCTCCCTCTGACCTGGACGCCCCGAGGGTCTCCAGCACAGCCCCGCACAGGACCGGGAATCCGAGAAGCGCTTGGGGAACTGTGTGGAACAAATGAATGAATGGGGAAACAACCCAATTCAGTGGAACACTGGGGAGACAAACTCAGTTCTCTCCGCACTAGTTTTATCTCCTGATGCCTCTTTTCCAGTGAGCCCTGTCTGGAGCAGGTGAAGCCTGGAGGCGTTCACAAGGACACTGGAACCGAATCGCCAGGCACTTGAGACGCTCAAATCCACAGGCCATGTCTCCTTCTTCCCCCAATCTCCAGTCCTCCAAAACCATAGAGAGCAGCGCGGGGACAGCTCCTCTCTATGCTCTACCCCAGTAGAAAGCAGTGAGACAGGCCGTGGGCCAGAGAGGCCGGAAGTGCAGCAGCCCAGGGGCCGCGCTAGTCGCGCTAGCGGTGGAACACCTTGATTCCGCCGCAGTTTTTCCTCCGCTGGGTCTCGGGTAGAGCAGGTCAGTTCTCGCAGGGCTGAAACCCTGAGGTATCAGCTAGAGCTGCCGGAGGTTAGTACCTCGGGTCGTGATTGACAGCCACGCAAACCAATCATTGTAGTGTCTGAGAGCTGGCCGTGACCCGGCGCGGGAGAGCGTCCAGGTGCGAGATCTGGAGGCCTGGCCAGCAGCTAACGGGGATAGTGGGGGCGGAGCGAATAGGACAAGGGGCCCGCGAGGGGCGTGGCGAGCCACAGGTGGGCGGTGCTTTAGGAACTTTGGGCTCCAGCGGCTAGGGCCTTAATGAAAGGAGCGCTGGAATTTTACTAGGGGAACCGGGTGTGAGTGGGGTTCTTGCTGGGAGAACGGGAGACAGATGCCGGTGCCTGCATATCTTCCCTCTTAGGCTTCAGATGGACCCTGAGAAGGACGAGGAGGGGACGCCGAAACCTGCAGGGCCTCCTTCGAGGAAGAAGTTTGTCATCCCACTGGACCAGGATGAAGTGCCTCCGGGGGTAGGATGAGCTGATCTGGGACTGTTGAGAGACCGGAGGCAGTGATGGAAGGAAAGGGGACAGAAATGACCCTGAGATCAGAGGTAGCCTGAAAAGTTTGAGGGCAAAGATGTGATCAGTGAGACTGGAACAGAGAAAACAAGGGGAAGGTGGTTGGAATGCAGTCCCTTACTTAGCTAGGTGCAGATCTGAAGCCTTATGGGCTGTATGACAGCTTTGGCTTTTACTGTGAGGCAGAAGCCATTCGTGGCCTATGGGCAGAGGAGGGACAGGATCACTAGTATAGAGAGCATACTAGTGGAACAAGCAGGTGACTGCACTGTTTCAAGGGAGAGAAAATGCTGGCTGGAAGCAGGATGATGTTTTGAGTCAAGGCTTTGCCAAGTTCCCCAGGGGAGCTTTAAACCTTCCATTCTTCCGCCTCAGCCTCCTGAATCACTGGATGATTATTGGTATAGGGTAGCATTTCCAGCTTGGATTCAGAATTTGAGGTCCAAGGGGCAAGGGACAAGGCCTTGGAGAAAGAATGCACGTAAGGAAGAAGGAGGTTGGAATAACCCAGAGGAGGGAAGAGGGACACACAGGACCTCACACGTTCCCTCTTAGACCCCTAAACCCTCCTTTCTCCCCACAGGCTAAGCCCTTATTCAAATCCACACGAAGCTTTCCCAACGTGGAAACATCCGAGACCTCAGCCCAGAGTGCCCCACAGAGCTATGCCGAGTATGCCATCTCTCGGCCCACAGTAGGAGCTGCAGCCACGTGCCACACGGGGTCAGAACCCTTGGCAGGAGAGACCCCCAACCAGGCCCTGAAGCCAGGGGCCAAGTCCAACAGCATCATAGTGAGCCCCCGGCAGGTGAGAGGGAGACAGAATGAAGCCCGGAGGTTTCAGTGGAGCTGGGGGTAGGGTTAAATAGCAGTTTTCTGTCACTGTGGGCAGGGGAAGGAGGTCTGAGCTTAGCTGTTTGGTCCCCAGAACTGCCATTCCTTCATTTATTCACTCGGGCACACCTGTATTCATTCATTTAATGACTTGGTGTGGGTCAAGGGTGCCCCAGCTCTTTTTGTAGGAGCTGTGATTGTTTTTGTGCAGCCCTTTTCCAGTCCCCAGGTTTGTTCATTGAGTGAAAATGTAAGAAATGAATGTGATCCTGATTATGAATCCCTGAATTGCTGTGCAATAGCTGTGTGTTCTTGGGCAAGTGACCTAACCCATCCATGTCACTTATTTCTTTCTTTATGTTGGCACTGGGGATGGAGCCTAGGGCCTCACACATGCTAGGCAAGTGCTCTGACACTGAACTACATGTTTAGCCCTTTTCTGTTTTGAGACAGAATCTTGCCATGTTGCCCATAGCTTTGAAATTGTGATCCTCCTGCCTCAGCCTCCTGGGTAGCTGTGATTACAGGTATGCATCTGGCTGTTTGTCTCCTTTATTTTGATTAGTCTAGTGAGTGAAACAGACAAAATCTTTAAAAACTGAAGCAGGAGTCAAGCAGAGTGGTATATAGCTATAATCTCAGCTACTTGGGAGGACTGCAAGTTCAAGGCCAGCCTGGGCAAGTTAGCAAGACTGTCAAATACAAATAAAAAGGGCATAGAGGCATGGTAGCGCCTGCCTGTAATCAGTACTTTATGGGAGGCTGAAGCAGGAGATTTGCAAGTGCAAACCAGCCTGGGCAATTTAGAGAGACCTTGTCTTAAAGCAATAGAGGGCTGAGGCTAGAGTGTGTGCCTAGCATGGGAGAAGCTCTGGATTCTGTATCCGGTACCCCACACCAAACCTGCCCACTTCTGCCACCAGCTGGGTGTTCTCTGGCTCAGCTCAGCCTGGCCCTGTCCCCTTGCGCTGCATCAGATCCCATGCTGGGAGGGCTCAGTTGCCAAGTGTGCCTCCACCTTCCCTGACACATAAATGTGGGTTCCCAGGACATGGGTTTTCCTCTGCAGATTGAACTTATTTATCAGAGGAGTTCACAGAACCCTTGAGAAACCCTTCTGCTTGCAGGGTTATCGATAAAAGAACAGAAGCCCGTTCTGTAATGTGAACAGGCTTCACCTATAATTCCAGCACTCTGGGAGGCTGAAGCAGGAGGGTTATGAGTTCAGGCTCAGCCTAGGCAATTTAGTGACTTGGAGAGGCCTTGACTCAAAATAAAAACTTTAAAAGGGCTGAGGCTGTATCTCAGTGTGGAGGCCTTGGGTTCAATTCCCAGTCTCTCTCACACAAGACATAAATAAAGACTAGAATAAAGGATGTGGACGAGCTGCCCAATGAAGTCACACATGGGGACAGAGATGAATGTAGAGTTTCTCTGGCCACTGGGTGGTGGCACCATCCCTGAGGAGTCTCCATGTGCTCAGCTGACTGGAAACCATCAAGACTCTGGCCCCTTGGCTCTTTATGGAGGCTTCATTACATTGCAAGATTGATTGTATTATTTGCCACTTGTGATCACTTTAACTTTTGGCCCTCTTATCCGGTTCCTTGGTTTTTCCCTGGCCACCAGCCTCATCCTGAGCCCTTTTAGGAACCACCAAGAGTCGCCTCATGAGGACAGGAGATGCCCCTTTGCCTGGGATTCCCAAGGCCTTAGCAGCTGTATGTCAGGAATCCACTCCAAGATTAAACATCAGAAAGAAGATTCTGCCTGTGTCCCATCTCCAAGGGTTTTGGGGTCAGGATTCAGTGGGGCAGAGACTGCATTTACATTTCTTGCTTTATCATAGTACCACAAGAGGGGGGCTGTCTGCCTGGAGGATAGGGATCTGGGTCCATCTTGGTCGCTGTGCCCCCCACACTAAGACACACAGAAGATGCTCTGTAAACCCTTACTGGGTGGATTAGAGCTTTTGTTCAAAGAATCGCAGACTTGGGCTAAATACAGAGTGAGTACAGGGAAGAACACGAGGGGAATTCAGAGAGAAGGGCCTGCTGAGCTAACACCAGGCTGTCCAGGTCACAGGGAGGAGAGTACATTGGGGCAGGAGGCCAGGAGAAAGTGGCTGGGTGCCTGGGCAGCAGCTGTGACTGGGAGAGAGGGAGGCAGAAGTTCCACCTGAGGAGGAGAGAAGCTGGGGAAGGCCAGAGGCCAGGCGGACAGGGGCTGAGGGTATCGGGAGGGAGAGGGTTGTGCTGGCTGGGACAAACCAAGGGGTGTCCCTGAGGGTGGCTTCTGCTCTTCATCCCTTGCCAGAGGGGCAACCCTGTGCTGAAGTTTGTGCGCAACGTGCCCTGGGAGTTTGGCGAAGTGATCCCCGACTATGTGCTGGGCCAGAGCACCTGTGCCCTCTTCCTCAGGTGAGCTCGGGCTGCCGCCTTCAGGAAGGGTGGCCAGGCTGAGATCACAGTCCTGCCTTCTGGGCCTCTCTGCCCTCTGTGCTTGGCCGGCTGCTGTGACCATACATGTGGCTGTGTGTTGGAAGGGGTCTTGGCCTGGAGGGCCCTGGAACAAGAGGAGCTGGGGCCTAGATTTCTTGGTATGAGGGAGGAGGCTGGGCCTGGATCCTGTGGTCTGACAGAGGCAGGTAGACTATTCCAACTATTCCTGAGTTGACAAGAAGAGGATTTCTTTGACCCCCACGCTCTGACTCTTGCCCCTGGCTCTGCAGGCAGAGGAAGAGAAATTTCAAGCAGCGGCAGGCAGCTGGGGAGAGAAGCCTCTGCCTCTGCTCCCCAAGCTGAACTCTGCAGCCTCCCCGTCCTCCCTGTCTGGGTTGCACACCCTAGGACCCTGTTCCTGTGCACCCCCCTGAAACCCAAGCCTCCTCCATCCCCGAGAGGAAGCCAGGGCCTCAGGCTCCCAGAGCACACAGGCAGGCTGCATCCCTGCTGCAGCCTGGCTTTATGGTGCCCTTGGGCAAGCAGTTTAGCCTCCGGTGGCTTTAGACCTGGTGAGGCCATCATCTATACTCTGCTCCGACTGTGGCATCTGGGACCCCACACTGCTGTGACTGAAGAGGCTGCTGGGGCCTCCTGAGTACTGAGACCACCCTACTCTCCCTGCCCTGCCAGTCTCCGCTACCACAACCTGCACCCTGACTACATCCACGAGCGGCTGCAGAGCCTGGGGAAGAACTTTGCCCTGCGCATACTGCTGGTCCAGGTAGATGTGGTAAGTGGCCACTCCTTGCTCTTTCTACCTGGGAAATGGGTGTTGAGTCCCTTTCAGGAAGTACATGTTTTTTATGGAACTGGGAATAGAACTCAGGACCTTAAGTTTGCCAGGCAGGTGCTGTGCCCCTGAGCTGTACCCCAGTCCTGGGAAAAGCATGCTAAAACCTTGTTGAGGAACCAATTTCCATATCTGAGACTGACACGGCACCAGGGCATCCTGTGTTGGCAATGAGGTGGAACAGTAATAGTGTCTCCTCTACACCCACTTCAAATAGGCCCAGCTCACTGCCACCTAAATATTTCATTTTTTTTTAGACAGAATCTCACTATGTAGTTCAGGCTGGCCTTGAACTCACTTTGTAGCCCAGGTTGGCCTTGAAATTGTGGGAATCCTCCTGCCTCAGCCTCTTGAGTGCTGAGATTACAGGTATGCACCACCACACTAGGCTTTAAATCTCCCTCTCTCTTTTTTTAGAGGCAGACTTATCTAATGTTGATAGGTGCTGATAGGGATTCATTCTCAAAATATTAGGCCCTGAACCCTCAGGGAGGAAGGTTTTTATGGGGTTACAAAGGGGAGGTAGAGAGGCAAGATGGCCTGTCAATTGGGGATTGGTTCTTACTACATAGCAACCAGCTATGCATCACAGTGACCAGCCATTTCTAAGAAACAGAAGTAACAGGAGTTGAAGTAAACTGGTGGTTACCTGGACAACTAACAGACACTGAAGTATTCTGGCAGGGGGTGTTTTCTGCTGTAACTTTATACTTTACTGGAAACATATGAGCGTCCTACCTGTGTCTCATCTTCACTTATGCTATTAGACTAATTTTTTGTTTGTTTGTTTTTGGTACCAGGGTTCGAACTCACGACCTCGAGCTTGCCAGGCAGGCGATTATGCCACTGACCTAAACCCCCGTCCTAGGACTAAATTTTTTTTAAAAGAGAATAAAACAGAACAGTAAAATGAAACAAACAAACAAACAAAAACAGTGATAGGACAGTAGGAAACCCACCATTGTTACTATACTGCATATTGTTACCCTCTATATAGTTGCTTAGACTACTGGCCCCAGGCTTGTACAGTCAATCAAACAACACAAATGTCAGTTGCTTCCCTACTTCAGTTGCAATCATCTCAGCCTGCGTCCCATCTGGTTCCTTCGGGTGGAGGGCGGGTGCAGGGTCCAGAGGCGGCTTCCTTGCTGCTTCTCCCTGGCCGGCAGGGCATCCGCTGCCACACTTAAATATCTCTTAAAGTTGTTTTCATCCTCTGTCCCCAGAGCTCCTGCCCCAATCGAGACACCCACTTCCCTGGTCATATGGCCTCCGCTGGCCCCCTTCTGTGGGTCCAGCAGCCCAAGGGTTCTTTCTGAAGCGCAGATCTGATGTCAGCCTTCCCCTGCTCAAAACCCTCCCAGGGCTCTCCAGGGCCCTAGGAGACAGCTTTCCTCCCTGGCAAACCTGGTGCCCTCTGTGTCCCAACCACCACGCAGCCCTCCAGGCCCATTGCTGGCCTTGCCCTGTACCCCACACCCTGCAAGCACGCCTCCCAGGCCTGCCTCCCCCCACAGCCTGCGCAAGTCTTGTGTCTGGAATCCCTTTCTGTTCTCTGCTCCCTTTCCTCCTGCTTTCAGCTCAGACCTCCCCTCATCCAGAAGTCCCCCCTGAGTCCCTAGGAAGCTCAGGCACCCCTCTGATTCCCTGTACTCAGCCTGGCTCCTCCCATCATCACTGTCTGGGGGTGGGAGCATCCACCCCATAGATGAGCCCAGGAGGGCAGAGTCACAGCAGTCTGGGTCACTGTGAGGTCCTGACGCTGTCGTGTGTGGGCCCTGGGAGGGTTGAGGGGTGTCCCAGAGTGGAAGGCTCCCAGCATCCTAAACAAACAGTGCTGTTTTCAAGCTCCAAAAGCTGACTCTGTCCCAGGTCTCTTAATTCCAATCTTCTTCCCCAGAAAGACCCTCAGCAGGCCCTCAAGGAGCTGGCAAAGATGTGCATCTTGGCCGACTGCACACTGATCCTGGCTTGGAGGTGAGAGCGGGGCTCCTCCCCAACACCTCGGCTCAGCCTCTGTCCAACCCCCGCCATCTCCACCCAGGAGCTCCCTCCCTGTGAGCCCTGCTGTCTCTGGGTGCTCCTTTGTCACACAGGCCTTCATGTCACTCATGTGTGGTCACAGGCATAAAGCCAGGTGATGGAGATGGAGAGCCGGGTGTGATGGCACACGCCTGTGATCCCAGCACTCAGCTGCGTACCGAGTTAAATTACAGGCTGAACGCTAAAGCGACATAGTGAGACCGTCTCAAAAACCAAAACCAAACAAGCAAAACCTTCCCGCTAAATGTGTCAGAAGCCTGGTATCTGTAATGCCAGCAGTCTGGGTGGCTGAGGCAGGAGCATAATTGTGATCTACAAAGCTTTTCTTAAAATCAGATTTTATTGGTACATTTTAGGTATATATAATGATCCCATCTTTCATAGAGAACTTGTACCTGTACGTGATATAATTTGAGATCTATGTATTATTGTTTGGTATCTGGGAATCAAACTCACAAGCTCCTGCTTGCCAGGCAGGCACTGTTTGGGTGAGCTGTACCCCTGGCCCTTGAGATCCTTTTTTCAAAAACAAGGCTGGGGACATAGCTCACTATGAAGGTCTTGGGTTCAATTCCCAGTACTGGGGAAAACAGAAAAGGTAGAAGAAATCTTATTAAGATAGTTTTTATAGGGCCGAGGATTTAGATCAGTGGTATAAATGCCTGCCTGGTAAGCGTTAAGTCATGAGTTCGATCCCCAGTACCAAAACAAAAAAAAGTTTTTATAATCCTGAGGTATGAAAAAATTTCTTTAAAACAATTTATTCGTTTGTTTGTTTATTTAGAGACAGTGTCTGACATGTAGTTCAGGCTGGCCTTTTATGTGTGGTGATCCTGCCTCAGCTACATGCACCACCACATCCAGCTGTGGGAAAAAAATTCTAAAGTAAAACATACAACCCAGAAACCTAAAAGGAAGGTTGGATGATTTAAAATAATTAAAAATTTCCAGCACACACCTATAACCCCAACATGCGGGTGGCTGAGGCCGGAGGATTTGCCATGAGTTCAAGGCCAGCCTGAACGACAGATCCTGTCTCAAACTGAGATCCTGTCTCAAAAAAAAAAAAATCTGAGCCAGGTATGGTGACCAGTGCCTATAATTATGGTAGTCAGCAGGCTGAGACAGGAGGACTGCTGTAAATTTGAGGCCATCCTGGGTTACACTGAGTTCAAGGCCAGCCTAAACTACTTAGTAAGACCCAATCTCAAAAAACTATGAAGAGTGTAGGGCGTGGTGGCACACACCTGTAGTCTCAGCACTGGGGAAGCTGAAGCAGGAGGTTCTCTGTGAGTTTTTGGCCAGTCTGCACTACAAAAAAACAAAACTAAGAAGAAATACTTGCTGTATATATAACAAAGATGTTAACTGGGAATGGTGATACATAGTCCCAGCTACTCAAGAAGCTTGAGCCCAGGGGGCTGGGGATTTAGCTCAGCGGCATAAACGCCTGCCTTGCAAGCAGGCAGTCATGAGTTCAATCCCTGGTACCGATAAAAACGAAAAAAGACCAAAAAAAAAAAAAAAAAAAAGAAGCTTGAGCCCAGTTTTTGATAACAGCCTGGAAAACAGTAAGACTTTATTTAAAAGAAAAAACCACCGGGCATGGTAGCACACACCTGTAATCCCAGCACTCAGGAGGCTGAGTCAGGAGGATCACTGCAAGTTTGAGACCAGCCTGGGCTACAAAGGGAGCCCAAGACCAGCCTCAACTGCATAGCGAGACCCTGTCTCAAAAGACAAAAACAAACCAAAAAACAAAACCAAACCCTCAGAAGTTCCACTTTTCTCATTGGTGGGCAACTGTCTCAGGAGGTTGTCTTCCTGGTACAGTCTGAAAAATGTGTTTCTGGTTTTCTTCCCTCGAAAATGTACTGTGGTGGCTGGGACCAAGAGTCCTGATGCCCCTCCCAAGGTGGCCAGCAGGCTGCGAAAAGCCAGCTTCCCAGTCACTGGCAGCGCTGACCCATTTAATTAGTTCTACCACCACCCACTTTACAGATGAGGAAACTGAGGCTCACGAGACCCAGTCACTGGCTCTGGGTCATCGAGGAGGGTTGCTGGGTTGGGGCCTGAGCCAGAAACCCCTTGAGCTTCCATATTCCCATGATGGAGCCTGGGATTGCTGATCCTGGCATCAGGACGACCAGGAGGCGACTGTAACATGACAGTCCCCACCTGGCTGAACGTGTCCCGTCCCTCAGCCCCGAGGAAGCTGGACGGTACCTGGAGACCTACAAGGCCTATGAGCAGAAGCCCGCCGACCTCCTGATGGAGAAGCTGGAACAGAACTTTGTGTCTCGGGTGAGCCCCCCACCCTGCACCTGCAGCTCCAGGGGGCCTGAGGTCACTCGTGATCCCAAGCAAGTCTCACCTTTTGCACCCCAATGGCAGCGAGAGGGAATTTTCCTTTTGGTTTGGTTTTTCTGAGACCAGGTCTATGTTGTGTAGGCTGGCCTTGAACTCACTTGATCCTCCTGCCTCAGCCTCCTCAGTGCTGGGACGGCAAGCATGTACCACCACAGCCAGCAAGAGGGGGAGGTGTCTGAGTGCAAACCTGCTCCTGGACCGCTGGCTCCCATGGCTCTCCAGTGCCCTGACTTCTCTGCCTGAGGGCCTGGATGTCCCAGGACAGGGTTGACTTGTCTGATTCCTGTGGTGTCTCCAGCCACTCAAAACGGTGTTGCTGGGCTCCAAGGGGAGCTCCTGCCTCCACCTTTCTTCAGGCTGGGCACATGGACTCCTAGTTTATAGTAACCTTGGGGAATATATGCCAGGGAGGAAGGCAACAAAGGGACCTCCACAGTCACAGCCAGGAATTGGCTGAATCTTGGCAGCCATTACCCAGAAATGTGAGCTGTGTGGTGTCCACAGCTGCAGACCCCTGACCCCCCTACTCTTCTGCACCAGCAGTGCTACTGGGATCCCCATTCGCCCATGAACGGTGGCTGGGAAGGCACTCCTTGCCTTGGCATTGCAGGGAGTCCTGAGCAAGGGCCACCTGCAGCACCTCTGGGTCTTCCCCTGGGCGGAATCTGCTCCTGGTTCATCTGTGTGATTGATACCCTTGGCCATTTGGGGACTACTCTGACATGGCCTTTAATGAGTCCCCAAGCTAACGCATTGACTGAGCACCTCCTGCATGCATGCCAGGCAGGAAGGTGGGGGCCCTCCTGTGCTCAGGGTTGCTGGCCTTCTCCCAGTGACCATCTACCTCTTCTCTCCTTCCAGATCACTGAATGTCTGACCACAGTGAAGTCAGTCAACAAAACAGACAGTCAAACACTCTTGTCCACTTTTGGGGTAAGGACCAGCGGCTCCACCCTGATAAGCATCTCTTTCCTCTATCAGCAGCCCCCCAGCTGTACTGTTTCACTTCCCTACCACCTGCCCTCTAGGCCTGTGCCTCCTCCCAGAAGTGTCTGGGGTAAGGGGCCCCCATTGGCTAGGACAGGGTGGGGCTCGGTGCTTCCCGCTCCTGAACCCTCGGTCCTGTCTCTTCAGTCTCTGGAACAGCTCATGGCAGCATCACGGCAAGACCTGGCTTTGTGCCCCGGCCTGGGCCCCCAGAAGGTAAGCCCTGTGTGGAAGGGTGTGAGGGGATGGAGATAGGGTTTACTCCCCCAAATCGATCAGACTGTAGATCCCAAGGTGTTAGGTTTTGGAAGGCCCGGAGACCATCTACCTCTTATAGATGGGGAAAGTGAGCCTGAGTGGGTAGTAGGAAGTCTGGGGTAGAATCCAAATCAGGTACTTCTCTCCTCATCCCTGGAGCCCCCCTCTAAGCTAGGAAAAAAGAGCCAGAACCCCACTCTAGATGTATCGAGCCAACGGCCTCTTTAATGACCAGTTCTTCATTTCTCTCCACCCAAGGCCCGGAGGCTGTTTGATGTCCTGCATGAGCCCTTTCTCAAGGTGCCCCGATGACCCCCACTGCTGGTGTGACAATAAAGGATTGTCCAGGGCCAGGATCTGGCCAGTGCTGGTGCAGTTGTTGGCTGAGGTTGACAGGGTGGGGGTGGGGGAGGCATTGGCTTTGTGTCACCTTCTGACTGCCCGGGTGGCCACCTTCATTCTTTTCTTTTAGCTCCTCAGTATCCCTGGGGAGGCTATGCAGGATCCAGCTGTGGCTGCTTCTTCCGCTTCTTCTTTCTGTCTGCAGGAGCCCCGTCCCCGATCTCCACATTCAGTGGCACTTCTGGCATCTTCTCTTGGGGGGCTACCTCAGGCATCTCCTCTGGGGGTGCCGACTGTAGCACTCTATTTTCCTCACCCCACTTCCTTTTCTTCCTCTTGGTGGATCCCAGCACTGCCTTGGCATGGGGCTCCTTCTCACCTGGCTGCTCAGGCCCCTCCATCTCCATTGCTGGGTCGCTCATCTCAGTCCTGGGCTCCCCTGCTTTGTGCCCTGTGTCCTTCTTTTTCTTCTTGGTGGATGCTAGTACTGCTTGAGGTTCCAGGTCACCTGGCAGCTCCAACCCTACCACCTCTGCCGCTGGCTCCAGCATCTCATTATGCCACTTTTCTTTTTTCTTTCTCTTTTTAGTGAACTCCAGGGCCACCTCTGCCTGAGGCTCCACTTCCTGTGGCAGTTCTGGTTCCGTTATCAGCCCGTGGGGCACCAGAGGTCTCCCCTCTGACTCCTCAGCCTCAGTCCCTGGCTCTACCGACATCTCTGGCCTCTTTTTCTTCTTCTTCTTCTTCTTCCCGGGGATGGCTTCCTCCTGCAGCTCCTCCTTCACCTGTGGCTGGGCTTCCACTGTCACCCAGTCTGACTCCATCCCTTCTATTTCCTTCTGTCTCTTTCTCTTCTTGGTAGGGGAGGTGACTGTCTCCTCAGGAGACTCATTTTTGGCTACAGGTTCTAGCTCTGCTCTCTCTTCTGTTGGCTCCATGGTTTCTGCCTCTTTGGGCTGCTTCTTCCGCTTCTTAGAGGTGGGTGGGAACAGTATTCCCAGAGGCTCAGATATCTCAGCCCTGGGCTCTGTCACCACTGGCTCCATCACTTCTGGTTCTCCTTGCTGGTGCTTTTTTTTCTTCCTTTTTTTCCCCACATCCATTTCTGTTTCTACCTCTGGGGCCCCATGACCATTCACAGCCACCTGAGTGGTGCAGTCTTCTGACACCTGCCTCTTTCTCCTCTTCCCCGAGGCGGGAGACTTCAGTGCCAAGGGTGACGCCGGCCCTGTGACTGGTGGGCTGCCTCCAAAGGCACAGAAACGGGGCCTCAGGCCAGGAGGGATCTGTGGTGGGGGGCTTGTTGGAATGGGCTGCAGAGGACTCCCTGACAAGGGTTCCTGGGGACCCTCAATGATCCTTAAGCTGCCCTGTGGGGCAGGGGCACAGGTGAGCCCGCCTCCTGCTTGTGTTGAGGGAGCCAGCAGGGTGGCTTCCCCAGCCTGGGGCTCACTGCTGCTGAGGACCTGATAGCGGTGCCGCTTGCCAGCCAACTTGCTCTTGACGATGTGGGAGCCGGAGAGGGGCACCAGCCGGCCATTGAAGCTAAGGGTGAAATGGGAGGCAGAGACTTGGTCAGACCCTTACAGCAAGACAAGGAAAGGAAATGTAGAGACGGCATTTCGAAGTGCTTGGAAATGACCCCCCCCTTTGTTTTTTAACTTCCCCCAAGCCCCAAGTTCAGCCTCTCGAGCAGGGAGGGTGTGTGGTACCACTCACCAGTCTGGGGCAAAGTCTGCAGGGGCCTGGATCAGCCACAGCTCTGTATCCGGGCCTGTCAGCGTCTCCAGGGAGAGATGAGAGGGCTCTGAGGCTGAGCGGATGGCAGTGAAGTTGGGGGGACAAGAGAACCGAGCGGCACCTTCGGGACAGGAGAAAGCGGGGTCAGCTGACACAGTGAACCCTGAAGAGGGCGTATCTGCCCATCAGTCCCGACCTCATGAGCAGAGCTGCAGTTTCCTCCTCGAGCCGCTCCTCTGCCCATCTGTCCCACAGGGGCCTCCCCTATCTTCAGCTCGTAAGCCTCCCAAGACAGCGACTCAGAAATGAGATCTCGCAGGCCCGGCCTGGCGATACTGCCTTTTATCACCAAGACTTTCCGGGCACGCCTTTCTCTGCTCAGTATCCGCCCCGCACCCTCCTACACGCCCCCTCACCGCCGGACTGGGTCCCCTCCATCCCGCAGCCAGGGCAGCACGCAGCTCCAGCAGCCAGAGCTGCGTGAGTCTGCGGTCGACCACGTGGATCAGAGTGGGCGGGGCCCCGCTCGGAAGTGTCCAAGTGTCTGAGAGGGCGGGGTCGTCGCTCGGCTCCTGTTCAATTTATTAGAAAAAAATGAAAAGATTTTTCACCCATGAAGAGTAGATCACAAAAGACACGATCTTTTTCCAAACATCTACTCAGAAAGAGAATTTATTTTTCCTTTGGAGTCAGGGCTGCACTAGGTCTCTGTGGGTCTCCCCCACAGTGTCTCAGATATGATTTGTTTCAACACCGCCTTAAAGGGGCAGGCACACCCGGAGGACCTAACTCTTAAAGAGACAGGTCAGTTGGGCTGAAATTGTTGTAGAGGTAAGTGAGAATCCTGATAGATCCCTGTCTTCAGCGTTGGAATCCTCTCTGGAGGGGCCAAGATGCCTTGGAAGTTTAGGACTTGAGTGAGAGAGGTTAGAAAATGGAGGAAAAAGGGTAATCCCGAAGACTTGAAGTACCGGTCAGGGGTGGGGCATCTGGATTCTGGGGGAGCGGGAAACACAGGGGTGGAGCCTACAGGCCAGGGGGAGGGCCTCGGATCCCGAAGCCAAACCCACAAGCCGCGGTGCGAGCTGAGGGGCTTAGTTTGAGGATCAAAGGTCCTATGCAGATGCCCTCAATGATCTAGTCTTGTGCTTGAGAAATATTCCCCATGATTTTGAGGAACGCAGATAGGGCAGGAATCCTGATCGCAGACCCTTGCCTGTCCCGAGGGCGTGTAAACACCGGCACGTGGACGCGGATTCGGGGATGCTCCCACGCTCCTTGCTACCAGGACTGCCCGCGCAGGGCGACGGGTGGAGCCGAGGGACCGCGGCTAGACAGGGTGACCCGACTGCATTCCTGGCCGGTGTGTCAGCGCCGCTTCCCACCCCCTCTGCCGGGGTTTCGGAGCCTACTCCAGAATCGGGATACCGTCCCTTCTCCTGCGGTTTTGCAGAGCGGGGTGTGTGTGTGGTGGGGAGTCAGCGGAAGAGGAAGTGTTCGCTTAGCTAGGGATCTCCAGACAGTTCCCCCCCGCGCGTGGGCGAAGGACTCCGGGGCGCAAACCCTGCGGGCTCCGAGACTACAATTCCCAAGGGAACCGAAAGGCGAGGCTCGGGTTGTCCGCCGCGCGTGCTGCTGGGGGTTGTAGTCCAGCCCTGGTTTTGAGTTTCTGCTGGGGAATTCTGTACGGATCCATTCCCCCCTCCTTTTTTTTTTTTTTTTTAACCGACGGGGAGATTGAGGATCAGAGCCTGAGAGGATACTGATTTAGTGGGGCGCTTTTCTAGCCCTAGGAGGAGGCATCCGAGTCCCATCTCCCCAGCCTCCAATCTTCTCACGCTTTTGGTGGTGTCCAAATCTTAACTCCCGAAAGGGGAAACTGAGCCAAGAGAGTTGAGGGAGAGCTCAGGAGCCCGTCTTCTGCAACTCTAATGAAGTAGCAGTCTCAGGTTTTCTGCATATCGCAGCTCTGGTCGCCCACGGCTTCGGAATCTCGCTCTTCCTGTGAAATGGACCCTGAGTGAATCCCAATGGGAAGGTCTGCGTCCTGCCCTCCGGACTACAAGTCCCAAGGTGCTCGAGGTGACCTCACTCCCCCTCCCCTGTGGGACCCGCCTCCCTCCAGCCCCAGTCACGTCGTCTAACCTGTTCCCGGAGCCCGCCCCGCCCCGCCCCATCCTCGGCTCCCCGCAGCTGGAACCGGAGCCGGAGGAAGCCCCCCGTGCCAGGATCTGCCTCGGATCCGTGAGTTCTGTCCCCTTGGGGCCCAGGGGCCCTGGAGGACTGGGGAGGGACTTGGACACGGGGTCCCGGGGCAGAATGTGAGGTGCGCTGACTTCTGGGTCCCCTGGAAAGAGAAAACTCTGCTGTCTGATTTACTGGGCAGGAGGAAAGGGGTCTCAGATGGCTGAGTTCGTGGAATAGAGGGCTGGGACCATTAGGTCTTGGGGAGACATTGGAGCTGGGGTTCCTGGGTTCCTCTGATGGATGACTGTGGGAAGTCTGAGCTCCAGGGTAACACAGGGGTCTCAGATTCCTGACTCTTAGGCAGGAATAGGAGCTGGAATGGTGGGGCTGTGGGATAGTTGGTCATCCCTGCCGCCCTCCAGCTGCCTTCTGGCTGCGTCTCTGAGCGCGAGCCGGGGTGGGCGGGGAACCTGGGTCGCAGAAGAGGAGCGGAACTAGTACCCCGGATCACTCCGGAGGCTATGTCTCGGCGCTTCCCCCACTTTCCGGCTTTGGGGTGGGGGCAGGGGGTGAGAGAATCGGGGCAGCTCTCCAACCAACTCTGCGCCGCTGAGCGAACCCCAACATGTCATTAACCCGGGCGTCAGACCTGTCTAACCAGAGAAGGGACAGTCGCCCCAGGGCGCGCTTTGGCGGAGGTGGGAGTCCTCCAGTTGTCACACTAAGGGTGTTGTGAATTATCCGAGGTTTACAGAGGTCACTCTGGAGTCTGGGGCAGCATTCCAGAACGGAGGGTTGGGATTCCAGGACAGAATTCCAGAACAAAGGACTGGATTCTGGAAGGCTTGCGTGGCGAGGCATTTTTGCACTGCTCAGGGGAAGGGGTAAACTGAGTCTTAGAGGTGACACAGGCAGCAGTATTGTGGGGCGCAGGTTTGGCTTCCGTCTTGCTCTTCTGGCAGCTCTCTGGGAGCTGGATGCCATCTACTCCCTTCTCCCTCGTGGGGCTCCTTGCCCTGACCCACACTTGGCTGTCTGACCTGAGCTACTGGGCAGATAAGAAAGGAAGTGAAGCTAATTCTGGAGGTGTCCTTGGGGGAGGACAGGGGCGGGTAGGCATCTCTCTCTCTCTCTCCCTTCTCTCCACTCCCATGTGTCATGGGGGGCACCTGACCAGAAAGGAATGTTGGCTAATGTTTAGGTTTGAAGGACATTTAGTGACAGTCTGAAATGAAATTAAAAATAATAACCCTGGCTGTCAACACAGAGCATGTGTCATTCCTGGCTCAGATCTGGCAGGTAGACAGGATGGACACACTGGTCCAGAGAAATCTCTGGCCCAGAGGGTCACACTCAAGCGTCTCACCTTTTGTGAGATTAGCTGACCCCAGGACTCCTCCTCATATACTAGTGGGGAAACTGGGGCTGGCTAACAGGACACCCACCATCCCTACCCTGGATTTTGCTATTGTCTGGACTCTTTCAGGGCTCTCCTGCTCCAGTCCCCCAACTTACTAGGAAAGATCACCCACCAGAACTCAGGAATGGACAGGGGAAATTTAGGATTCTAGAATTCAAAGGCTTTGAGGATTGGGACCTTAGGCTTCAAAACTTAAGAGATTTTAGAGATTTATTTCCCTGTCTTTTTGAGACAGGGTCTTACAGTGTAGTTCAGGCTGCATTGAGCTCACTTTGTAGACCAGGCTGGTCCCAAACTCACAACGATCCTCCTGCTTCAGCCTCCCAAGTGCTGGGATTATAGGCATGCACCACCAGGCCTGGCAAAACTCAGAGATTTTAGAATCTCAGAAACAATTTTGGCTGGGTATGGTGTCTAATCCCAGCATTCAGGAGGCTGAGGCAGGAGGATCGTTTAGAGGTTAAGGCCAACCTGGGCTACGTAGTGAGACCCTTTTTTAGGGGGGGAAAAAAGAAAAGAAAGTGTTTCGGAGCTGGGTATAGGGACACTACCTGTGACCTATGTTTGGGAGACTGAGGGAGGAGGATCACTTCCAGTTTGAGAGCAGCCTGAGACAGAATTTTTTTTTTTTAAATATTAGGTGGAGTCTTTTATTGACATATAATTACTTGTCTTCTGGCTTGTTGAAGCAGTAAGTCAGACAGCATTTGCCACAATAATGTCTATCAAAGTGCCATAAAAACTTGAGTACCACATTCATCTGAGGAGCACTCTCAATGAAGATGCCTAATTTTGCCATTTTCATCCACCTTATAGTGTTTTAGAACTGCCAACTTGGGGGCTGGGGATTTAGCTCAGTGGTGTAAGCGCCTGCCTTGCAAGCAGGCAGTTCTGGGTTCGATCCCTGGTACCAATAAAAAAAAAAAGAAAAAAGAAAAAGAGAACTGCAACTTGACCTTCTTTCTCTTATGCCTATTCTTTTGGGGAGTGGTGTGGGAGTTCTCTTAGCACCACCACGGAGTCTCAACACAAGATGGAGAGTGGACTCCCTTTGAATGTTGTAATCAGACAAAGTGCATCCATCTTCCAGTTGCTTACCAACAAAGATCAGCCTTTGCTGATCAGGAGGAATTCCTTCCTTATCTTGGATCTTGGCCTTTACATTTTCTATAGTGTTGGAGGGCTCAACCTGGAGGGTGATGGTCCTCCCCGTAAGGGTTTTTACGAAAATCTGCATCTTGGTGGAGGTTCCACCAGTGATGGCAGATCTGAAAAGAGACAGAATTTTAAAACCACCTTGAACTATATAGTAAGAACTTGTCTAAAAAAAGGGGGGGGGAGTTAAAGGCCCTTTTGAGGATTAAATTTTACTTTTGGTCTTGAGGTTACTCTGTGGTGACCCTATGTAGTTTTTGTTTTTTCTTAGGGTGGAGAATCTGGTACTGGGAATTGAATTTAGGAGCTTTGAACTAAGCAACATCCTCTATTTACTTTTGGGAAAAGGTCGCACAAAATCAGTAAGTTATCCTGGATGGGACCTGAATTTGAGATCCTCCTGCCTCAGCCTCTCATAGTGCTGACATTACAGTAGTGCCACACCCTGGCTAACCCTGTTATCTTAAAGAACCATCAAGGAAAGCTGGTAATTAAAGATTCAGGATGTGCGAACCTCATTTCATACTCTGCACTGTTGTAAACACTGTACATTAATCAGCCAATCCTCACACCCCTTGAAGGGGAAGGTATTTATGTGCCCATTAAACACACTCGGAAACTGAGGTACAGAGATGCTAACTAGCTCGAAGCAGAGGCAGGGTGAGAGGAAGTTCCCAGCTCATTATGCTGAGGTGCACAAAAGGGAAATCAAGCCCCAGAGAAAACCGGGGAGGTTGGTCTACCAGCGACACTGTCTCAACTAAAAGGAAGGATTCCAACCTGGCATTCCCCCCATGCTGGCGCCCTGACCTGATTCCTGCTAAGGACGCCTTCTCCAAGAAGCCCACAGGATCCTTATCCCCGGAGAACCTGGCTGGCTGCTAAGGAGGCCGGGTTGAGAGCGATGGGGGTGGAGTGGAGAGAGCCCAGGAGAGGATAAGTGGGGTGGGCGGGAATCCCCGGAAGGAAGAGGATGCCTGGGTTGGAAGGGAGCCCAGGGAAGAGGAACTGGAGGCGGAGGGCAGGGGCCTGGGAACAGAGAGCCGCGGTCCGCGCCCCGCCCAGCCTGCTCCCCAGCCTCGGGAGCTGCGCACCTGCCCAGACCCGCAGTGCATTCCGCGGCTCTGAGCTCAGGCGCTGTCCGCCCGCCTGCCTGGCCGAGGTCAGGCGGTGACTCGGCGCCCCCTGGCGGTTCTGGCACGCCCACCGCCTGTACCAGCCTCAGGAATTGCCCCACGCCCAGGGCAGATATTTCCTTAGGATGTCAGCGCGGAACCTGAGAATCTTAGGCATGGGCGGCTCATGCAATCCTCAAAAGAACCGCTCACTGCCGGAATTGCTGGCGCGGGAGGCCGCGTAGAATTGATTTGTGTTTTCAGTACTGGGCACTGAACCCAGGGCCTTTGCACTGAGCTACATCCCCAGCCCCTTTTTTATTTTGAGACAGAGTGTTGTTAAATTGCCCAGACTGGGCTCAGATTCTCGGTTCTCCTCCCTCGGTCTTCCAAAGTGCTGGAATTACACACGCGTATCACCACAGCTGTCTGACGCAATTGTTTTTATATTTTAACAAACGCAAAGTGTTTCCTATGTCACTGAGACACTAGAAGCCCTGTTTTGATTCCTAGTCTCTGCTTTCTGAGCTTTCAGTTACCTGAACCTGAATTCTGATGGTACTATTTGGTAGACTGTTACTTATCTCCGTTTTACAAATCAGGAAACTGAGGCACGCTGATCAGGGTCCGCCAGTGGTCCCATCACATTTGAATCCTCAAAGCCTGGTTGCTTATTTGCTTTTATCTCCTTTAGACTTAAAGGACAGTTCCTTCCTGGGGTAGAAAGTGGGCAGTGAGAATTGTGGGCTCTCAAATTGGGGAATTCCAGAGTGCTCCCAAAACAGAATCTCAGGTTTAGAAATTTCCAACAACAGACTCTCAAGCAGAGTTCAGGATGTGTGGAACTTTATTTTATTTTGAGACCAGCTCTTACCTTGTAGTTAGGCAAGCCTTGAATTTAATATGTAGTCCAATTGGCTTTTGTACTCCTGGTGATCCTCCTGCCTCAGCCTCCTGAGTGTTGGGATTACAGGCAATTGCTGGGATCTGCAGAACTTTAATCACAATCTCAGGGTCCTGACAATTTTAGCATGGAGCCCTCTTAGAAATTGAAGGAGCCTCTCAGAATAGCTAGTTTGCCTCCTTTTACTGTGGGGAAACTGAGGCCCCTGGAACAGAGAGGACTCTTTGGCCAAGTTTACACACTCCCAGTACACCCAGATGAGCCACCAGCCCTAACATGTTCTCTTCCCGCGGTTTCCCAGACTGAGGCCAGTGTCAGCACGTACCAGCCCGCCCCTCTGCCCACGCCTGGGCTGTCACAGCCTAGAGGTCGGGGCAGCAGGCAGTGACAGGCTGGCGGGCGTGGCGGCTGCCATGGGGATGGAGATGGTGCTGGCTTGACTGGTTCCTGGTAACCACGCTCCCTCCCACTGGACCAGTCACCACAGAAGCCCATCCCGCCCTGCCCTCCTCCTCGCCACTCACCTATGTGAGCCAGGCCTTCCCTGGGTGGGGACTTGAGGGAGAAGAACCCCTTCAGGGTGGTGGCAACTGCAGAGTAACGTGCTGGATCCTGGTGGGAAACCTGGAGTGAGCAACTTCTAGGAGGTGACCTTGACCAGATGCGTTTGAGCCTTACTTTGTTTCTAGACTGGTTTTGATCGTAGAATGAGGGTTGAGGGCACCCCCCCCCCGGAGCAAACTTGTGCAAGACAGTAGCCCCTCAATTAATGGTGATCGGTTTTATTACATTACATTCCCAGCCCCAGCGAGGGTTCTAATACAACACAGGCGTCTCCAGTGGTAGCAGTGTCTCCCAGGCCCCAGTGGGTACTCAGTACGGGAACATATAGTTCTTATTTCATCCACTGTCCACTCGCTCATAATAGATCCTGTTGAAGGAATCACTTCTTCTCTCTCCCTCTCTTCTCCCTTCCCTAGCCTTTTTTGTTTTCGCTTTTCAGACAAGGTTTTGCTCAATTGCCCAGAGGTTGAGTTCAAACATGTGATCCTCCTGCCTCAGCCTCCCAGAGTCCTGAGATTACAGGCATGCATCATCATGCCTGGCTAGGAACGGAGTCATTTTAGCAGGGCTGAGATAAAGAGATGGAAGAGGAGCCATGTAAACAAAGTGAAATAGTGTTCGAGGTCAGCCTGGACCACAGTACATACTGAGATCCTATCTCAAAAAAATAAATAAAATAAAAGGAGCTGGGAAGCAGCTCAGTGGTTCAGCGCCCCGTTTTTGATCCCCTTACTGAGATGCAGAGGTAGAGATAGTGACACAGAGATGCAGCTAGAGCTAGAGATATAGGATAATTTGGAGCCTTCCACACGGGTTTGGACTCTGAGGAGCCTGTGGACTGGGCTTTGCAGGAGCTGTCACGTCCCAGCTGGGGCAGTGGAAGGGCGAAGAGCTTGCGGGGTCGTGCTCCCTGGGCCTGGTGTCCGGGGACAGGGTCTGAGCCGCTCCCCCACCGCGCAGGCGCCCCGCTGCGGCCGGCACCATGGACAGCGAGGCTTTCCAGAGCGCGCGAGATCTCCTGGACCTGAACTTCCAGTGTGAGTGGGGCAGGGGCGGGAGGGGCGAGGCCGGGCCCGGGGGCTTGGTCCTGACCCCAGCTTGGTCCGCGCAGCCCTGGCCATGAAGCACATGGACCTGAAGCAGATGGAGCTGGACACCGCGGCCGCCAAGGTGGACGAACTGACCAAGCAGCTGGAGTCGCTGTGGTCAGACTCTCCTGGCTCACAGGCTGGAGCCTCCACTAGGGTGAGCCTGGGTGGCCCGCAGCCCCCAAAAACAGTTTCTCTTGAAAGACGGAACCGTGGAGGTGGCCATCTGACAGCACTCCAGGATGTTTCAAAAGGGGGCTTTCCCTAAGTCACACAGAGAGCTGAGTGTGGCAGCCTGGGCCTGTAATCAAAGCCCTCCGGAGGCTGAGGCAGAAGGATTGCTAACACTTCGAGACCAGCCTCAGCTACATAGTGATTTCAAGGCCAGCTGAACCACATAGTCCCTGCCTCAACAAACAAGCAAAAATTAAAACTAAGTCACACAAAGGAGACAGTGAAGGGTTAGCCCCGAGTTAGGGCCCTTTTCCCAGTACGCCTCACCTAGGCTCACTACCTGAATGTCTACATAGGTCCAACTTTTCTTTTTTTTTCTTTTTTAGGTCCAACTTTTTAAAAAAACTTTATTGGTACATTTTAGGTATACATAACAATCACATGCATCATAGAGAATGTATATCTGTACATGATATATCTTGCTTCTTTTTACCCCCCTTCCCTCCCTATTTACAAAAGCTTTCTTTTCTTGTTTTTTTCTTTTCCCTTCCCTCTCCCTTGTTCCCCTTCCCATTTCAGCATTTTCTTCCCATTTCACGATATCTGTTATACATTTTGGTCCTTATTTATACTTTCCGTTTCTCACAGCAGAGAATCTGTGTGGTATTTACATGTGTATCTGATTTATTTCACTTAAGAGTATGGCCTCAGTGTACGTCGATTTACCTAGAAATGTCTCAGGCACATCATTCTTTATGGCTGAGTAGTACTCCATTGTATAAAAGAAACACAAATTTATCCGTTCATTGGTGGATGGGCATTTGGGCTGTTTGCAAGATCTGGCTGTTAACAAACTATGCCAGTATAAACATGAGTGTGCACATATCACATGCCACGATGCTTTTAATTCTTGCAGGAAGATACCAAGCAGGAGAATGGTTGGGTCGAATGGAACTTCCAGTCCTTTGGCCCAGTTTCCTGGGATTACTTTCTTTTTCCTCACTGTGGATTGAACGTAGGGTGTTTGCACTGAACAACACATCCCTAGTTTTTGTTTTTTAAATTTTATTTTTACTTCGAGACAGGGTCTCCCTGAACTGCCCAAGCAGTTTGGATCCTCCCGCTTTAGCCTCCCAAAGTGCTGGGATTACAGGTGTGCACTACCATGGCTGGCTTCTGGGTTCACTTTTAAAGTCCCTCTTGCCTTTACCCATCGACCCCTCCACTAATGTCTCTTTTGACCCTTCGACATCCAGGCCTCTCCACAGCATTCCCGGTACAGCTCCAGCCCGATCCCTGAGCCCTTCAGCAGCCGAGGCTCCCCGAGAAAGGCGGCCACTGACAGTGCAGACTCCCCGTTTGGGCGCTCCGAGAGTGCGCCGGCATTGCACTCCTACAGCCCTCTGTCCCCCAAGGGCCGGCCGTCGTCCCCGCGCCTACTTTACCTTCAGCCCGAGGCCTACGGCAGTCTGGACCGCGCGCCCTCGCCCCGGCCGCGTGCCTTTGATGGCACCAGCAGCCCCCTGGGCCGTGCGCCGTCCCCGCGGCCCGGCTCGGGCTCGCTCCGCCAGCAGGGACCCTCTGCGACCCTGGACTTCCTGAGCCGCTCGGGCTCCCCACGTAGTAGCCCTCTGGCAGAGGCGCCCCAGGCCTTCTTCCCCGAGCGTGGACCCTCACCCCGCCCTCCTGCCTCTGCCTACGATGCGCCCACCACTTTCGGGAGCCCCCTGCTGGGTGCGGGCGGCAGTGCCTTCGCCCCACCTCTGCGAGCCCAAGGTGAACCTGGGGCTCCGGAATTTGGGGGACTGGAGGGACCTGGATCCAGCCTCCCCTACACCAACACCTCCCCTCCCCCCAGATGACCTGACTCTGCGCCGGCGCCCCCCTAAAGCCTGGAATGAGTCTGACCTGGACGTGACGTATGAGAAGAAATCTTCTCAGACAGCGAGCTACGAACGTGAGTGGTGGCGGCAGGGAGTGGGGGACAGGAGTGGAGCCCCATTTCGTCCTAACGATTCCGCCCCACAGGCCTGGACATGTTCACTCGGCCTGCCTCGCCGGGCCTGCAGCTGCTGCCCTGGAGAGAGAGCAGCCTGGATGGGCTGGGGGCCTCGAGCAAGGTGAGCAGCATGGCCAGGACCCGGGTTCCCTTCCTGGCTGTATCTTTCTTGCTTTCTCTTGGACTCCCACGTCAGCTGGGCACTCCTAAACTCCTCTTGGTGTGTGTGTGTGTGTGTGTGTGTGTGTGTGTCTGTCTGTCTGTCTGTCTGTCTGTCTTTATTTAGGCAGAGTCTCACTATGTAGTTCAGGCTGGCCTTGAGTTCATGGAGATTGTCCTGCCTCAGCGTCCCCAGTAGTAGGATTACAGGCTCACCTTTGCTCTGACCCCTCTCCCCCTTGAGCCCATTTTTAAACTTCCCTCTCCTCCCTCAGGACAATCTCACCAGCGCCACCTTGCCGCGCAATTACAAGGTCTCTCCTTTGGCCAACGACAGGCGCTCCGAAGTGGGCAGCTACCGACGCTCGATGGGCGCCACAGGTCCATCGGGCACTTTGCCCCGCAGCTGGCAGCCTGTCAGTCGCATCCCCATGCCGCCTGCCAGTCCACAGCCCCGCGGGGCCCCGCGCCAGCGCCCCATCCCACTCAGCATGATATTCAAGCTGCAGAACGCCTTCTGGGAGCACGGGGCCAGTAGGGCCGTGCTGCCTGGGTCCCCTATCTTCTCCCGAGCACCGCCACCTAAGCTGCCTCCCCAATCCCAGCAGCTCCCCCAGTCTCAGCAGCTCCTCCAGCCCCTGGCCCAGCCTCAGCCCCAGCCCCAGTCCCAGCCCCAGCCCCAGCCCCAGCACCAGCCCCAGCCCCAGCCCCAGTCTCAGCCCCAGCCCCAGCCCCAGTCCCAGGCTCAGCCCCAACTCCAGCCCCAAACCCAGGCCCAACCACCTGCCCCAGCTGCCCAGCCCCCCCAACAGACTTGGGCCCCTATAAGTGAAGGTGAGTCTGCAGTGACTGCCCCACAGGGCTGGGGGGCGGGCCAAGTGGGCGGGACCAAGCAGGCATCACAGCCAACCAGACAGCACCCTTGGGAGAACCGGGCCATAAGACAGATGGAATTTGCACAGGAGCCAGGCATTGATTGCAAAATGGCTAAACATGGACCCTGGGGCCATCCTTTTTCTATGTGACCTCTAACAGGACATTTAACCTCTCTGACCCTCAAGTTCCTTGAGTAGAAAAACAATAATAATAGAACCAGTGTTATTGGGATATGGTATTGGAAACCACATCGAGGTCTTCCCATAGGACTCCTCTATGGCATAGAAAGCTCTCAGTGGCTGTCATGTTAGTGGTTATAACTGTTCATGTTTTTATTGCAAGATCATTTGTTCAGCAGGAGCCCCAAGCCCTTCTCACTGCTCATTGTTGGGGTGACTCAGGATAAATTCCCTAACCTGCATGAGCTCCTGTCTAACCATCCATGAAGAGATATTAATTATACCTCCTTTGTGATCAATAAGGCTATAGATTTTGGCCAGGATTTGTGGCACATGCCTATTAATCATAGCACTTTGGGAGGCTGAGACAGGAGGGCTGCAGGTGGAAACCTAGTTTGGACAACTTAGTGACTTAGTTAGACCCTGTCTTAAAATACACACACACGGGCACGCGGGCACACACACACAAAGGGCTGGAGGTGTAGCAGTGTACGAGATTGGGGTTCAATCCCCAATATCTAAAGAAGAAAACAAACCAAAAAACCAAAACCAGAGGTTCTGGAGTCAGTTAAATAATGTGGCTTTAAGCAGCTGATTTGCCCCCTCTGAGCCCCAGATGCCCTTCCTATAACACTGGAAGTGATGACCTCTCAGCTCACTCAGGAGTGGGGAAGATTCAGTACGGCCCGTATGTACTGTGCCAGACACACCTAAATACTAATAAAAAGGGGGTGTCCTGATTATTCACAGCCCAGAGATGGCATGAAGCTGCCCTGTGGTCACACAGCAAATGCAGTGCTGGCTGCAGTCCTGGAAGTTGAAGGGCTCTAATGAGGATTTCCTTCCTGCTAGGCCTCCTTAAATCCCCTGCGGAGCTGGAGCCAGAGCCTGAACTTGAGGTGCTGCTGACCCCGGTGCTGGAGGCTGGCGATGCAGATGAAGGCACTGTCACTCGACCCCTCAGTCCCACAAGGCTGCAGCCAGCACTGCCGCCTGAAGCACAGTCAGTGCCTGAGCTGGAGGAGGTGGCTCGAGTGCTGGCAGAGATCCCACGGCCTCTCAAACGCAGAGGCTCCATGGAGCAGAGCCCTGCCATGGCGCTGCCGCCTACCCACAAGAAGCAGTACCAGCAGATCATCAGCCGCCTCTTCCACCGGCATGGCGGGCCAGGGCCTGGGGGGCCTGAGCCAGAGCTGTGCCCCATCACTGAGGGATCTGAGGCCAGGGCTGGGCCCCCTGCTCCTGCCCCACCAGCCCCCACACCACCCCCAGCCCCACCCCAGAGCAGCCCACCGGAGCAGCCCCAGAGCATGGTGAGTCCCACAGGAGGACAAAGGGCTGTGTCTGTTAGTGTCTGGGTCCAACTGCTGTAAAAGCATCCTCCAATGTACAGTGTCTTAAATGAGACAGGTAGTTCTATTATTTATTTATGTCTTTTTCCTTTTTATCGGTACCAGGGATTGAACTCACGACTGCCTGCTTGCAAGGCAGGCGCTTATGCCGCTGAGCTAAATCCCCAGCCCTGGTAGTTCTATTTTTTAGTAAGAGTCCAGGAGTAGCAGCTGGGTGGAGTCAGGACTCCACCCAGGGCTCAGTCCACCAGGGGTTCCTGTCCATGAGGGGCTGGCCTCCCTTCCTAGTCCAGGAAGGCCCTCAGGAAGCCTGCATCCCAGCCAGGAAATAATAGAAAAGGTCTTTTTCCCTTCGGGCAGAATCTGGAATCTCACCCTTCATTCGGTCCCTCCCACAGGAACAGAAGCCAGCTGCAAGGGATGCTGGGAAATGTAGTCTTCAATCTTGCCAGTGTACATTCAGGAAAGGGAAACCCATGGAGGTGCATCCAGGAGTCTTGGCACATGAATTATTTTGTACCTTTCCTCCAGTGACCTGTTGCTTGCACCCTGTGCTGGGCACTCTGTCAAGAATTTTTTTTGTGTGTGTGTGTTAGGGGTTGAACCCAAGGCCTTTGCACTGAACTATGTCCATCCCCAAGTCTTTCTGTGTGTTTATACTGAGCCAGGATCTCTCCAAGTTGCCACATTCCCCAGGTTGGGGTTCCTGGGGTTGAACTTACAGTTGTTCTGCCTGAGCCTCCTTGGGTGCTGGGATTGCAGGTGTGTGTCACCCTGTTGGACTATGTGCCACTTGTCAGCTATGCAAACTTGGCCAGATACTTACTCTTTTGGGGCTCAGTTTCCACATCTGGAAGATGGGGATGAGAAAGCAGCAGCCTCCTTATAGGGTTGCTGTCTGGCGCATAGCCACTGACCACCCACTGGTGGAGGGAAGATTCTGTTACCGAGCTTGGCTGGGGAGGGTAGTCAAGTGGAACGGCTCTGAGCATTGTGGGTAGAAATGCAAGGTATGAGTCCCAGAGAATTGGAGGTGAGGTAGGTGCCCCAGGCCTACCTGAGGGAAAGGATGGCAGCCTGAAATAGGAGTTGTCCCAATCTAGAATCACAAAGTTCCAGCCACAGAAAGACTTGACAAATCACAGAATTCCAACCAGGTCCCGTAGTGCATATATCTGTAATCCCAGCTACTAGGAGGCTGAGGCTGAAAGATTGCAAGTTTGAGGCCAGCCTGGGCAACTTGAGGCCCTGTTTCAAATAAAATTTGTGAGGAAGGGCATTTCCTTAGCATCCAGGAGGCTCTGAGTTTTATCCCCAGCACTACAAAATGCTAACAACCACCAAAAACCTGAATGAGCTGGGTCACTGGTTTCCACAATCATGTTTTGAAGGCCTCAAATCACTTTGCCACCACCTGGTTGGCCTCACAGCTTCCTCTCAGGGCTCAAAATTCGGGTCCCAGGATTCCCTGGTTACTACAGGAACCCCGAGTCTTGGAAAGCCAGGCAGCACTGCCTGAATGGACTAGGACTCGACCTCCCTCCCTGGGCATGAATCCCAGCCCTGCTGGGTCTAGATAGTGATTGGGAGCAACCTCCATGCGTGGCCCCTAGGCCTGTGGCCCCCTCTGGGTCATGAATCTGAAGTACTAAGGACACTCCTCCCCACCCAACAAGTCGCTGTCCCTGCTCTGCCCCATAGGAGATGCGCTCCGTGCTTCGGAAAGCGGGCTCCCCGCGAAAGGCCCGCCGCGCGCGTCTCAACCCCATGGTGCTGCTGCTGGACGCGGCGCTGACTGGAGAGCTGGAGGTGGTGCAGCAGGCGGTGAAGGAGGTGAGGCCCGAGAGCTGGGGAGGGGGTGGGGACGGGGGTGGCAGAGCGCCTGCGCAGGGCTGCAGGGCTGAGCCTCATCTCGCATCCGCCAGATGAACGACCCAAGCCAGCCAAACGAAGAGGGCATCACGGCCCTGCACAACGCCATCTGTGGTGCCAACTATGCGATTGTTGACTTCCTCATTGCTGCAGGCGCCAACGTCAACTCCCCCGATAGCCATGGCTGGTGAGCCTGGGTGGCGACTGTGAAGACGTTGCAGGGGTCTGGGATCGGGAATGGCGCTGCGGGATGGGAATGCCACTCACGTGTCCCTCCTATGCCCAGGACGCCGTTGCACTGCGCGGCGTCGTGCAACGACACGGCCATCTGCATGGCGCTGGTGCAGCACGGCGCTGCCATCTTCGCCACGACGATCAGTGACGGTGCCACTGCCATCGAGAAGTGCGACCCCTACCGGGAGGGCTACACCGACTGTGCCACCTACTTGGCAGGTGCGGGGCAGGCCTGGCAGGAAGGGCTTTCCCCAATGCGGGGAAAGTGATGGGCTTGGAAGTCCCTGCTATGCCACCTCCCTGGCATGGGTAGGGACTGTCCCACATGCCTGGAGATGCAGTTGTCCTTGGTTTGAAATTAAGGACCCTGGAGTGTAGGGATTCAGCCAGGAGGAGCCTGGAATGTAGGGATTCAGCACAGCAGGAAATGGGATGGGCTGGGGCTATACCTCAGTGGCACAGCGACTGCCTGGCAAATGTGAGGTCATTCGTTTGATTCCTGGCACAAAAAAAAAAAAAAAGGAAATGGGAGGAGGACATGGTGGCGCACCCTTGTAATCCTGGCGCTCTGGGAGCTGAGGGGATGAGTATAAATTGAGCCCAGCTTGGACAATTTAGAGACTTAGCAAGACCCTGTTTAAAAAAGAAAAAAATGGGCTTGGGAAATAGCTCAGGGGCACAGCTCCTGCCTGGCAAATGCAAAGTCACGAGTTTGATCCCCGGTACAAACAAACAAACCAAAAAAAAAAAAAAAATCTGGGGCTGTAGCTCAGTGCAGAGGCCCTGGGTTTGACCCCCAATACCATAAAAATAAATAGACACATAAAAACATAAAAAGCGGGGAAAGCTGGGCGTGGCTCACGCCTGTAATCACAGCGCTCTGGAAGCTGAGGCAGGATTATTGCGAGTTTGAGATCAGCCTAGGCTACAAAGTGAGCTCAAGGCCAGCCTGAACTGCATAGAGAGACCCTACTTCTTAAAGACAAAAATAAAATAAAATAAAAAGCAGGAAAAGCGGGCCACTGGTCCCACCTCAGGGTAAGTCTCCCAGCTTGATGCACGAAAGGTCCATGAATGTTACAGACGCCACTCCGAGCCCACTCCAGAGACCGGTGCTCATATACGTGGCACAGATCCCAGGCCTGGCCCTGTGCCCCCAGGCCGGGCTCACACTCCTGACCATGTATTTCAGACGTGGAGCACAGCATGGGGCTAATGCACAACGGCACGGTGTACGCGCTCTGGGACTACAGCGCCGAGTTCGGGGATGAGCTGTCCTTCCGCGAGGGCGACTCTGTCACCGTGCTGCGGAGGGACGGGCAGGAGGAGACCGACTGGTGGTGGGCAGCGCTGCACGGACAGGAGGGCTACGTGCCACGGAACTACTTTGGGGTGAGCCTGGAGGGTTTGGAGCAGCACAGCGGGAAAAGAGGGAGGAGAAGGATGCCTATGACAGGAGGGGAAGGGGACCCGAAGAGTTTACTTTGGTCATAGGGAGGAGAAGAGCCCATTGTGGTAAGAAGCTAGCGGGGAGCCCCTTGCGGGCCTGGTACTCAGTATTTGTTGTTTGATTCGTGCTAGGTCAAATGTTTTTGTGGGGCTGGGGGCGTGGCTCAGGGGCAGAGCGCTTGCCTAGTTTGTGGGGCTCTGATTCCCATCCCCAGCAAGTGGGAAAAAAATTATCACCCTTGATATTAATAGGGAGATTAGAGAATGTATTTTAGCCAAGGGGAGTGTTGAAAAACCCCGTTCTACTGATGGGAGAAGTTAAAGAATTGTCTATTGAGGACAGGGTGGGAAGGAAGAATCCACTAATACAATCACAGCAGCAGAGATCTGGGTGTGGCAGCCCATGGCTATAATCCCAGCACTCAGGAGGCTGAGGCAGGAGGATCACCGTGAGTTTGAGGCCAGACTGGCTACAGAGTGAGGTCAAGGTCAGCCTGAAGTGTATATGGAGACTTTGTCTCAAAAAACAAAACAAAACAAATCACAGCAGAAAGCTGGGCACGGGTGGCACATACCTGTAATCCCAGTGCTCAGGAGGCTGAGGTAGGAGGATCTTAAATTCAAGACCAGCCTGAGCTACCCTCAAAATCACAATAGAAGCAAGGTGATTCTCCTAGGTTGGGGGGATGTTTCTACTATATTCCTAAGAAAGAATATTTCTTTAATTTGGAGTGGGTAGAGGTGGGACCACCCAGGCAGCCATGGTGACAGGGAGACTCACACTATTCCACTTCATCAGTAGAGCTGCAGATTGGAAGGCTTGTGGTGCTTGGAGGTGACAAGGGACTTGGGGGACTCTGGAGTGGACAGGAGGATGGAGCAGGGTGCCTCGGGCAGGATGAGGGTGGCAGTGTCTGATGTCTGTCTGAACATCGCCTTCTCAGCTCTTCCCCAGGGTGAAGTCACAGAGGAGTAAAGTCTAGCAGGACAGAGAACGACGTCTCCCAGGGAGACAGAAGCACCGCCTACCTGCTCCCCAGACCTCAGACCCCCCTCATCCTTTATGCTGCGCCTCTTGCTCTGCAGGCTTGGGGCCCTCACTGCCACATGGTGCCCCCTCAGAATCCCAGGGGAGGAGATCCCAGCCTTCAGTTATAGGAACCTGTCTTAGCCATGGGAAGTCCAGGGAGTGGGGCTGGAGTTTTTTTTTTTTTTTTTTTTTTCATTTATGGTACTGGGGATTGAACACAGGAGCTTTATACTGAGCTGCAACCCCAGCCAGACCTTTGTTTACCTTTTTTTTCTGAAACAGAGCCTTGCCAAATCACTACATTGTCCAGGCTGGGCTTGAACTTGAGGTCCTCTTGCCTCAGCTTCCCAGAGTGCTGGGATTACAGGCAGTTGTCACCATGCCCTGCTGGGCTGGAAATCTTTGGGGACAGGATACTCCCTACATTTGCCAAATCATATGCATCCGAAGTGCCTCTCTATCCGACTGCCAACAGCCCCGAGCCCTGGCCAGCTAAACTGCCCTCCCAGCTGAGGCTGGAGCAGGTGACCCTATCTCTTTATTGTCCTGAGGGTCACTTCTGACCCTGTATTTCTCAGCAGATTTGTGATTCAGGTATCACACATTGGCCTCTACTAGGATCTCTGTTCCTTCTCTCCCCAGTTAAGTGCCTTCACGTGCTGGTTTTATGTGTATAACAAGATGGGGAAATTTTTCCTTATAAATAAAAGAAGTTTATTGACTTCTCATTTGATCTTGCCTCAATAAGTGTGCATAGTGGAGTGTGTGTGTGTGTACTAGTGCCCAGGTGGAATCCAGGGCCTTAAATCCACTAAACCAGGTGCTCTGTCACTGAGCTATAGCCCCAGTGCCTGACAACCCAACTGCTTTCTTAAAGCAACTGCTGTCTAAGGGATTCACTCACCACAGTCTAATCCTTCTTTCTCATGCTCTCATGCTTTGAATTCTTTTTACAATATGTATTAGTTAACTTTCATCAGTACAACAAAATACCAGAGGCAAGATAATTTTTTTTTTTTTTTTTGAGGCAGGGTCTGGCTATGCAGTTCAGGCTGGCCTTGAGCTCACTTTATAGGCTGGTCTCGAATTTGCAACAGTCCTCCTGCCTCAGCCTCCCAAGTACTAGATGTAGTGGCACAGAGGTGATTTCAGGCCTACATAACTCAGCTCACAATCTTTATGTATTTCCTGCCACTCTCACCATCACTCATCCTCAGGCCACTCTTTCCTTCACAAATTAATAAAATCCAAGTTAGGCCTTGGGTAGAGGCCTTTGTTTGGATGAGCCCTATCCAGACCAGATTCAGGACTCATTGGTGCCCCGTAAGTATAAATATGTGTTAGTGTCTTTACTTTCCCTGTGTGCTGCACTGGAAGTAGTAGATTGGAATTAACTTGCTAGAAATCCAGTAAACTTCCCAGACTGCAATGGGGACAGGAGAGATCTTTATAGAAAGGGTTCTGTCTTTTGAACACACAGCAATCCTCTTGCTTCAGCCTTCTGAAGGCTGGGATTTAAGATGCGTACCACCATTCCCTGAAGAAAAGCTCCTCTCTTTTAATTTTTTTTTGGTACTGGGAATGGAACTCAGGACCTCATGCTTGCCAGGCAGGTGCTATATCTTTCCCTCGCCCTAAAAAGCACCTCTCTTCTCCAAGAAGCCAGAAAGCAATTCAGGGATCAGCCAACCACAGGCGTTTATAACAAGCCCCTAGTGAGAACCACCTTAACCCCGCCCTAAGCCACGCCCCTGGGCCAGAGGACCTCCGTCTAGGCCCCGCCTCTTAAAGGTCCCCTTTGTTCCTGTGTTGCCTCTCTAAGGCCAAGTGTCCAGCTCTCCGATCCGTGAGGAACAAACCAGATCTGAAGGGTAGCATAGTATACATCAGGCGACATTTAATCCAATAGTGTCTGCTGGCTCCTACTGTTCAGTTCACTTTCTTGCACATATTCGAATTAATGAAGGGTTTGCAAGATGGCTGTCAACAGGATCAGACCTGGGGAAGTCAGGTGACCTCGCTGAAGGTGTGGCCCTGCATGGTGACTTTCCTGTGCATCTGCCTCCCTTTCATCTAGTTCATTAACTCTTCTTTCCCTCTTTCTGGTGCTGGGCTTTGAAGCCTGGCCCTTGCACATCAGCCTCTGAATATTCCAAATATTTCTGAGAATCACAGACCTCTTTTCTGGTCTTTTTTTTTTTTTTTTTTTTTTTTTCCTTTCTGCCAGGGCATCATGCATGCTCCATGAGCGTCCTACCAGTGAGCGACACCTGTAGTCTTTTTTATATTTTATTTTGAGGCAGGATCTCATGGCATTGCCCAGATTGACCTGGAATTTACCATCCTCCTGCCTTAGCCTCCCAAGTAGCTGAGATTACAGGTGACTATCATCAGGCCTGGCTTTTTTGTGTATTTTTTTTAAATTGACAAATCCTAAATCTCCTGCACTGGATTTGGGAGAGGATGTGAGGCCGTCCCTTGTGTGCTGAATCACGTTTCCTAGGGCAGCAACTACTACACCTGGACAACTCCCATGGCCTGCAAGGTGCCTGTCTTCCTCCTGCCCTCAGGTATTGGGGTGGCGCCCTTGCCCTGCCTTCACCCTCCTCTCTTTCACCCCCAGATCTGCTCCTCTTTTTTTTCCCACATAGATTGATTCCTTGGTTTATTTCTCTCCTGCTGTGTTAATGGCAGGGCAGGAGATAACTGTGTTTGACCTGTGCTATGGCATGGATGTTGTTTCTCCCCATCTCATGTGCTTGGTCCGGGAGGCCATGGCATTGAGAAGGGATGAGACTTGTAAGAGACGGGGCCTTGTGGGAGGTGATAAAGTCATGGGGGCTCTGCCCTTTGGAAGGACTACTGTGGGAGGTGATAAAGTCATGGGGGCTCTGCCCTTTGGAAGGACTACTGTGGGAGGTGATAAAGTCATGGGGGCTCTGCCCTTTGGAAGGACTACTGTGGGAGGTGATAAAGTCATGGGGGCTCTGCCCTTTGGAAGGACTACTGTTTGTCTCTAGAGACTGGGTCAACTACTAAAACAGTCATTTCATCTTCGTCTTTAACAACTTTCTGAAATGTAAACCTGATCACATCTCAACTTTGGTGAGAATATATCCTTGGCTCCCACTATCTTCAAAATCTAAACCTTGAGCCCAGGTGTGGTGGCATGTGCCCGGTAATCCCAGCATTCAGGAGGCTGAGACGGGAGGATCACCATGAGTTCAAAACCAGCCAGGGTTACAAAGTGAGTTCAAAGCCAGCCTGAGCTACATAGTGAGACCTTATTTCAAAAAACCAAAAAAGAGAATAAATTGTCTAAACTTAAAGAAACACAAAACAATTTTTATTAAGCAAAAAATCTGCATACCACTCAGTTTACAAACTTTTTTTTTTTTTTGGTACTGGGAATCAAACTGAAGACCGTGCACTTGCCAGGCAGGTGCTGTGCCACTGAGCTAAATTCCCAGCCCACAATTTCAAACTTACCATGGAAGATTTGTGTAGACCCAGCACACTGAGAGAGTTATAGAACCACAACCACCATCCAATTTAGGTCATTTTGGACATCCCAAATCAAAACACCCACTTATAGCCATCAACCCTACATCTAGATAACCACTGAGATATTATTTATCTTCACAGATTTTCCTATTCTGGGTTTACTCTTTTTTTTTCCCTTTCAAAATAGATCATGCTCGAAACAACAGTAAAGACCTTAACATATCCAAAGAAGTACAAATTAGAGTGAAACCAGAGACCAACAGGAGAAGCGGAATATAATTACTTATTTTCTTCTCTTTTCTCTCTCTCTCCTCTTTCCTATTAAATTATTCATACAAAGGAAACCATATGCTGTACATGCTTGCGTGTCTGATTTATTTCATTTAACATAATGGTCTCAAGATGCATAAGTCTAAATCTAAACTTCTAGAAGGCTCCCTATGACTGATCCCTGCTGGTGTCCCTGGCTGTGGTTTCCAACCAGCCCTTCAGCCTGATGCTGCAGCGTCCTGCACAAACTGCTAAGCCCCACCTGCTCGTCCTTATCTTTGGGTGCCCCACTCTTACTTGGGAAGGCAGCAAAATCTAGATTTACCATGGGAGAGACCCAGGAAATGCTCTCTGCTCACTCAGTTTTTCTGTTCTAATGAAATGAATCATGGTGCTTTTTCTTTTACGTGTAGTTTCCCATGGGTTTAATCTTTATAGTGGATTGATAACTGGTGATCAACTTAAACACCAGTTATCAATTGAATTGAATCAGCGTGGTGCTTAGTGTGGATGGTCCACCAGCGGACTGTTGCCAGCATAAAAAGGAGACCTGGAGGGGAAGAGTAGTGTTGTGGGTTCTCCTAAGTGTTGTTTGGCGCCATTGGTTCTTCTGGAGGAGCTTGTCATGCTGGCTCCCCTGATAGGAACTTGGCTGTTATCCTGGGAGGAGCTCTGGACTTTGTTGCTGAGGATGGCTGCGGTTCACTTTTGTCCTTACTTTGAGCTTTGCTTCCTGGCTCTCGAGGGGAAGATGTGTGCTGTTTAATCTCCAGGAGGTCTGTCACTTTGGCTTCCCGATATGAACTTGGCTGTTCTCATCGTTAGAGGAGCTCGGGAGGGACTTCATTATCCCTGAGGATGACTGTGGTACTTTTCAGGGGGGCCCTCATTCTTATTTTGAGCGTTGCTTCTTGGCTCCATTGTAGAACCCTCAGTCTGCTGGCACAGATCCTTCACCCCACTGGCATAGACTTTGTAGATTCTACCACTGTCCTTTGGGCCTTCCCAGCTCAGCTCCATGAAGTAGACTTGCATGGGTCATTGTCATGGGCTCTAGCTTTTTAGCAGGTTATTACCATGGGATCCAGGCCCTCAGCCAGATTTTCTAAGGTCTTTAGTGTTGTGCACAGATTTCTTGCATCGTCTTTGTATTTGACTCCTTGGGTGACGTTGGTTTCCTTGGGTGACCATTATAAATAATACTATAACTTATGTGTCCCCTATGTAATCGTTCTCCTTGCAACCCCTGACTGCAACAGTCTTGTTCTCCGAGGACAGGAGCTAAGGCTGTCAGGATCACCTTTGTGTTTCAGGAGTCCAGCACAAGGTCAGGAACATGGTTGTGTTCATGACTATTTGTTGAACAGACAAATAAAAGATTGCTATATTTTGTTTTGTTTTCTTGCAATGCAGGGGTTTGAACTAAGGACCTTCTATGTGTCAGGCAAGTAATCTGCCACTGAATTACATCCCTCAACTTTTAAAAAAAAATTATCATGTAGCCTGGGTTGACCTTGAACTCCTTTCAGTCCTCCTGCTTCAGCCTCTAGACTGCTGGATTACAGGCTTATACCACCACACCAAGCTTTTATTTTTGATATTTTGAGACAAGGTCTTGCTATGGAGTCCAGGCCAGCCTCAAATTTCAGGCAATCCTCTGTTTTAGTCTCCTGAGTGCTGGGATCATAGGTATGCATCGCCACACTTGACCTAAGAGCTGTACTTTATTGAATGCATACTTTATTTGGCATCTGGTTTTAATTGGTTCATGTGGATTAATCTATGTGTCACATATTTTGTGGAGAGCCTAATTGCTCCTACTCCACAGATGAGAGAGTGGAAGCCCAGAAAAGTGAGTATTTTAAATGAGGTCTGGAAGCTAATAGGCCATGTGATCTGGTCCAGAGCCCACTCCTTAGCCACAAAGCCACACTTCCTTTCTATTACTGCCTGATTAAAACACTTGGCTCACTTGGGAGGCTGAGGCAGAAAGATTGCTGTGAGTTCCAGGCCAGCCTGCACAACATTGTGAGATTTGGCACAGAGTTTGGCAAATAGTAGGTGTACAATTTAGGTATACATAATGATCACATTAATTATAGGGAATTTGTATTTGTAGGAATAACTATCTTTTTTTTTTTTTTTTAGTCTTTTTGAGACAGAGTTTCACTATGCAATTCAGACTGGCCTTGAACTCACTTTGGAGCCCAGACTGGCTTAAAACTCATGGAGATCCTCTTGCCTCAGCCTTCTGTGTGCTGGAATTACAGGCATGTGCCACCACACCTGGCTTTTGTTTGTTTTTCTTTTCTTTTTTTTTTTTTTTTTTTGCATTTTTCGTTTTTATCGGTACCAGGGATCGAACTCACGACTGCACACTTGCAAGGAAGGTGCTTATGCCGCTGAGCTAAATCCCCAGCCCCGTTTGTTTTTGAGGCAGGGTCTCACTACGTAGTTCAGGCTTGCTTTGAACTCACTATGTAGCCCAGGCTGGCCTTGAATTTGAGGCAATTCACCTGCTTCAGCCTTCTGAGTGCTGGGATTATAAGCATATGTCACCACACTTGACAGGTTAAATGGAAGGAAATATTTATAAATTCTACTAAATCCTAAATCATTTTTTATAAATGTATGTTTCAATGAAGCAATTCCATCGTTAACTCGAATACCCCAAAGAGGTTCCCAATTTCCCTTTTATTCTCCCCTAGAGTCTATTCACTATTCAATCTAGGCAGACAGAGGAAGATTAAGAGTTGATGAATTGGATCGATTATCTCGGCTTTCTTCCTTACATGTTTGGTTCTTTCTCCTCGGTGATCCTCAGCTATGCCTCCAGTACAATCTCTCCCACAGAGCTGCTCTTATGTCTCTTTGCGCACGCGCAAAATTCCGATTGGCTCCGCCCCGGCAGAGTGACGGACAGCATCAGCCAATAGCATCATGGGGAAGGTGGAGCAGCTCCTCGAGAACGCCCACATTCCTACCCCTTACTAAATATTCATGAAAAGCTAGTTGTGGGATCCGCACGCCGCTGCCGGCGGCCGCCATGAAGTGAGCAGGGGGCTGGGGAAGCCCGGAAGGCGGCAGGGGGCTGGAAGATGGGGGGACGGGCGGGCGTGCCCGGGACGCCGGGGGAGCAAGGGGAGGCTGAAGGGGTAGGGTAAACATGCTGCCGGGATCAGAGAGGCGGCCCCAGACGGAAGTGGGAGACGCTGAGGGGACCCGAAGTGGCTCCTTGGGGAGTTTGAGGACTTGGGGCTGAGGGCGGAGGGTTGTGGAGGCTGAGAGGGGCAGAGGGGACGGGACTGACTCGCACACCGTGCCAGGCTCAACGTGGACGGGCTGCTGGTCTACTTCCCGTACGACTACATCTACCCGGAGCAGTTCTCCTATATGCTTGAGCTCAAGCGCACGCTGGACGCCAAGGTGGGGGCCCGGGCCGCAGTACCCGCCTGACAGGTGGCACCTCCTCATGTGGGTCTAAAGCTGAGGCTGCGGCACGTCTGGGTTTTAAAAGTCTGAGGCCCTGGAGATGAGTATGGGTGTCACATACCTGTAATCATAACAGTGTTGGAGACACGAGGAAGCAGGATCGCTAGGTTCAAGATCAGCCTGGGCAATTTAGCGATTTAGCGAGATTTGGTTGCAAAGTAAAACAGGAGGGAGAAAAAAAAAGCTGTCACTGGAGCTCTAGATTCAAACCCTTGAGGGTTTGAGGGAAAAACAAAAAGAAGGGAAAGGACACTGATCCTGCCTTGGAAATCCAGGACTCCAAAATCAACCGTTATCCAAAGTAGTGGCTAATAATAGCAGTAGCTAACGTTTTTCCAAGATCCAGTCTCCCAGCACTTAGGAATAGAAGGGCTCTAAAGCCTCCTGCATGGCTTGGAATTCTGGAGCCCCAGATTCCTAGCTGTGCACCCTTAGGCAAATCTCCTAACGTTTAACCTGTAAAGTGCTGATAGTAATGACTCTGCGCTCCCTAGCATATGGGAGCAGACCCTAAGTTCCATCCCTAGCACCATTTTAAAGAACATAAGAGAAAGGAAAACTGGGGAACAGTGACAAGTGCCTACTTACTTGATAGCTTCTGAGGGTCATGTTCATACAGGAAATCAGCAGTTCTCACCTAGGAGTGATTTTGATGGCCAAGGATGTTTGCCAGTGGCCAGGGATATGCTTGTCACACTAGTGTAGGGGCAGAGCTTCTGGCAGTTGGTAGGTAGGCACAGGCTGTGGAAGCTATTATCCTACGGTCCACAGTTAGACCAAGTGTTTTCTGTCCCTAAATGTCAGCAGAGCTGAGGTTAAAAGACACTGATATAAACAGCCCCCAGGATAAATTCTGTGGAAGTTTGTTTTTCAGTACTGGGGATTAGACCCAGAGCCTTCACTCTGAGCTATATGTCTACCCCTTTTTTAAAATTTGGGCATGGTGGTGCACTCCTGTAATTCCAGCACTTGAGAGGCTGAGGCAGGAAAACTATTTGCAAGTTCTAGACCAGCCTGGGCTACAGAGTGAGCCCAAAGCCAGTCTGAACTGTATTGTAAAACCCTGTCTCAAAAAGATATAAATAAATAAAGTTGTGAGACAGGGTCTCACTAAGCTGCTAAACAGCTCAGGCAGGGCTGGAGTGCTGGGATTACTGACCCATACCACTGCACCCAGCACTATGGGAATTTTTGCTAAGTTAAAGGATTCCCTGTCAGGTATCATATCATACATTGTACCCACAATTTCACGTTCATCCTCCCAGTCATCATATGAATAAGGACTTCTTATTTGGGCTGTTTTAGAGATGAGGATACTGTGGGCCAGCAAGTTAAAGATACTTGCTTAAGACCCGGTGGCAGAAATGGAATTCAAACCCAATGCCACTGGAGTGCAGATTTTTAATTGCCCCTTTGTCTTGCTGTCCCTGGGTGGTGGTGTGTGGGAAACGGTCCTCAGAGTTTGTGACCCTGAGGTTCTGAGAGCCTAGGTCATGTCCCTCTTGCTTCAACACACAGGGTCATGGAGTCCTGGAGATGCCCTCAGGTACTGGGAAGACAGTGTCTCTGCTAGCCCTGATCATGGCCTACCAGCGGGTGAGTGACCCCTGTGTCCACGGAGGGGAAAATGGCAAGGAGCTTGATGGAGACTGAGCCACTTGTCCCTGGCAGGCATATCCACTGGAGGTGACCAAACTCATCTACTGCTCGAGGACTGTGCCTGAGATTGAGAAGGTGAGTTGGGATCCCATGCTCCATCCCCTGTCCACTCCCTTCTTGTGTTGGTCCCTGGTGGCAGCCCTTACTGGCCTCAGGGGTCGGGGCCTTAAAGAAGAGGTGTGGCCTGGCTCGAAGCATCTGTGCTTCCACTGAGGCCATGTCCCTCTCACCACTACTTGAGCAGGTGATCGAAGAGCTGCGCAAGTTGCTCAGCTTCTACGAGAAGCAGGAGGGGGAGAAGCTGTCATTTTTGGGGCTGGCTTTGAGTTCCCGCAAGAACCTGTGTATTCATCCCGAGGTGAGCGCCCTCTCCCGCCCCTGGACCTAGGCTTGGGGTGGATAAAACTTCCACCCAGTCACACATCCCAGATTCCCAGACCTTGCCCCCTGGGGATGGGGGTGGTCATGCACGAATTACCTTTCCGCTGTCATTTCTGACTCATCCTTCAAGGCCTGCTGAGTGCACCTTCATCGGGGATCCCTCCTACTCTGCCTGAGAGAGGTTGAAAGGCAGTGCCTGAGGCCTGAGGCCGGGTTTCCTGACTCAGACTTATCAGCTGTGTACTTTTGGACATGTGATTTCTGCTATCTGGGCTTTAGTCTTCCCTTCTGTAAAATGGGAACAGTTAGGGGCTAGGAATATAGCTCAACAACACAGTGCCTGCCTGGCAAGTGCAAGGTCCTAAGTTCAATTCCAAGTACCAAAAAAAAAAAAAAAAAAAAAAAAAAAAGCAGGTCGGGGACAATTAAGGCTCTGCCTCATAAAGTTGAGACTGATTGAGGGGATGCAATTGAATGCCTTAGCATGTATGAAGAGCTAAATATGTTAGAAATTATCATGAAGCCAGGAAGCGAGGCACAGTGCACTTGTCCTTAATCCCAGCATCTGAGAGGCTGAGGCAGGAGTTTAGGAGCTCAAGGGCAGCCTGAATTATACAATGAGACCTTGTCTTAAACAAAATTAATGTATTTCTGTCCATAATAACATATGATCTAGAGTATTACAGTTATTGAATTACATTACAAACCAATGTGTTTACTGTGTGCCAGGTACGTTTTTTTTGTTTTGTTTTGTTTTGTTTTTTTGAGACAAGGTCTCACTATGTAGCCCAGGCTGTTCTCAAATTCACAGCAGTCCTGCCTCAGCCTTCCAAGTGCTGGGATTACAGGTGTGCGCCACCATGCCCAGCTAAGTGCTGTTCTAAGTGGCTGACATTTCCTAATATACTTAGTGCATTGCATTATTTATAAGAACATTGAGAAATAATGCAGATGATGCTGATAATAAAAAGAAAAGATGTCCAAGGTTGATGAACCGGAGAAGGCAGAGTAGAGGGTCTGCAGCCCCCAGGCTGCCCTTTTTTTTTTTTTTTTCTTTTTCGTTTTTATCGGTACCAGGGATTGAACTCACGACTGCCTGCTTGCAGGGCAGGTGCTTATGCCGCTGAGCTAAATCTCCAGGCTCCCCCCCCCCCCCGGCTGCCCTTTAGTGAAGGAAGAGGCTTTGCTCTATGGAAAGGCAGCCCTGGGCTGTGATGACATGGCGCCATGGAGGAGGGTCCAGAGCAGGTCAAGGGCACTGTTCTCAGTCTGCACGGTGGAAGCCTGTCTGTCTCTTAGACCTTGCCAAGCAAGGCTCCATGTGTTTGGGCACCTCCATGTGTTTGGGCACGTCAGGAAGAAGTATTCTCAACTTCCACTTGACTGTTTCTTCAAGCATTACCTTTTTTATTTTTGGTGCCAGGGATTGAACTCATGACTTCATGTTTGCCAGGCAGGCGCTTATGCCACTGAGCTAAACCCCAGTCCCTTGAGCATTAATTTTAAAACTATTTTTAGTGCTGGGTGTGGGCCCAGGCCTCTGTGTGCCTTGCAAGTGGCCTGCCTCGAAGATGTACCCCGACCTGAGAGTTTCTGTCTTAAAAATACAGGTTGAGCATTCAAAAACAATTCCTAATCTAAAATTCTCCAAGATCTCAATCTTTATTTTGTTTTTTTGAGACAGGGTCTTGCTGTATAGTTCAGGCTGTCCTCCAACTCACTGTGTAACCCAGGCTGGCTTCAAACTTGGGGGGATGCTTTTGCACAGCTTCTAAATTCTGGGATTACAGATATGTGCCACCATGCCCATTTAGGATCTGATATTTTGAAGGCTAACATGACACCACAAGGGGAGCACACTTCTGACCTCATGTGACAAAGTCAAAATGCAGGCACACTCAAAATACTGTGTATATTCAGGCTAGGTCTACATGGTAAATGGGAAACATAAATGAATTTTATGTCTAGACTTGGGTTCCAGCCTCAGGGCATTTTTTTTTTTTTTTTTTGGTATTGGAAACTGAACTAAGGACCTTGCCAGGCAGGCACTATGTCACTGAGCTATATCCCCAGCCCCAGGATATCTTATTATGTGCATGCAAATACTCTAGAACCTGAAACTATCTGAAATCCAAAACACTTCTGGTGTTAGGCTTTTTGGGTATGGGACACTGAGCCTGCCAGGCGTGGAGTCTTGCTGCTTCCATTCAGGTCTCTCAGTACCCGGGTATCTTAACTGATAATGGGACAACTTCTGTTGTCCAGAAATTCCAGCTGGCTATGTTCCTGCCTGGAAAGCACAAGGACCTGAGTTTGATTCCTGGTACAAAAAACCAAACCAAAACTAAATACCCATTTGGCTTCACATCGAGCCAGCTGTGAGGCATAGAGTCCCCAGCTTGGAGGAACAATTGGGATTGCAGTCTGTCTCCACACTAAGATGACCCTGTGCCCCCAGGTGACACCTCTGCGCTTTGGGAAGGATGTGGACGGGAAATGCCACAGCCTCACAGCCTCCTACGTGCGCGCGCAGTATCAGCAGGATACCAGCATGCCCCACTGCCGCTTCTATGAGGTGTCAGGGGTGTCAGGGGCCAGACTGGGCTGGGGATCCAGGCACGGGGCCAGCCAGCCTCCCTGATCTCTGCCACCCTCTCGCCTTGCCCAGGAGTTTGATGCCCATGGGCGCCAGGTTCCCCTCCCTGCTGGCATCTATAACCTTGATGACCTGAAGGCTCTGGGGCAGCGTCAGGGTTGGTGCCCATACTTCCTGGCCCGCTACTCGGTAAGGGGCTCCGCTTTTGTCCCTTGCCTGTGTGGGCCTCTCTGTGCCTGTCTTTCCTTGTGTTACTTCTGTGCAGTGGAGAGTGGCAGGACCCAAGTGGGCACTGGCAGACGGACCAAGGCAACCTGCCCTCCCACCCTCCAGATCCTGCACGCCAATGTGGTGGTATACAGCTACCACTACCTCCTGGACCCCAAGATTGCTGACCTAGTGTCCAAGGAGCTGGCCCGCAAGGCCGTCGTGGTCTTTGATGAGGCCCACAACATCGGTAAGGAGGGAGCCAGGGTGCACCGGTGACATAACCCTAGCCCCTTCCCCACCCTCCTGCCTGAGCCCGGCTTCCTCCCTTCCCCAGACAATGTCTGCATCGACTCCATGAGCGTCAACCTCACTCGCCGCACCCTCGACCGATGCCAGGCCAACCTGGACACCCTGCAGAAGACGGTGCTCAGGTATGGCACAGGGGGACACCTGGGACTCTGCTGCTGCTCCCTGTGTCCTTTCCAAGGTCACCAGCCTATCCCAGCCACACTCATGTCCCTGCAGGATCAAGGAGACAGATGAGCAGCGGCTGCGGGATGAGTACCGGCGGCTGGTAGAAGGGCTGCGGGAGGCCAGCGTAGCCCGGGAGACAGATGCCCACCTGGCCAACCCCGTGCTGCCCGATGAGGTGCTGCAGGGTGAGCGCCACCTCCACTGCCCGGCACCTCCTGCTCCCATTCCCCCGATGCCTGATGACCCCGTCTCCCCACAGAGGCGGTCCCTGGCTCCATCCGCACGGCCGAGCACTTCCTGGGCTTCCTGCGGCGGCTGCTGGAGTTTGTCAAGTGGCGGCTGCGCGTGCAGCACGTGGTGCAGGAGAGTCCCCCCGCCTTCCTCAGCAGCCTGGCCCAGCGCGTGTGCATCCAGCGTAAGCCCCTCAGGTGCGATGGCCTGTATTGGGCCCTGGCTGGTCCTCTTGGGCAGGCCTGTGGGCGGAGGCCCTGACAGAAGCCACGAGCAGGGCCCTCAGGCCATCTGGACCCTGGCATTGGTCTCCGGCCAGCGCCGACGTCCCCACCAGGCCCCAGCACAGCACCCCCACTATGGTGGAGGGGGCAGGTTCTGTACCTGCGCTTTGCTGCTTCAGGGGTTTGGTCTTCTCCCTCCGCTACCTTGCCTGCACATGGGTGGGGACGCATCGTCTTCACCCCACGGCTTCCTGTGGTGCTTATGAGAAGGCAGCAAGGCAGACAGCTTGGTGACCCAGGTTGTGGATGAGGGGACTGGGTTCTTAGCAGGAACATCCCACCATCACACATCCCTGACAGGGAACTTGGGACTGAAACCAGCAGAGCCAGCCTCTGAGGTCCTGAGTGCCTTGTCCCTCGGTGGAATGACCTGGCTTTGCCTGTCCCCAACCCCAGTAGGAGACTTGAGGGCAGAGAGGACCTCAAACACTCATGACACGTTGTCCAAGCACCTGCAATGTTCTGGGGACACAGCAGTGACCCAGACAGCCCAGGGCTGCCTGCATGTGGCTCACAGCCTAGCAGAGCAGATGGCTTTGTCCCCACATAGAGATGGCAGACAGCGGGCAGAGCCGGGGGAGACCGAGGCACCTGAGCCAACCTGGGGACAGAGAGGATGGCTCCTGTGTGGGGGCGTGTGTTTGTGTCCCTCTCAGAGTACGGAGCATGGAGGCTCTGGGTGTGAGCGTGTGGCCCGGAAGCCATGCAGGACTAATGTGACCGTGGGGTTCTGGGAGTGGTCGTGTGTCTTATTGGGGTGAGACCCTGTGCACTTGTGACAGGTGACCACGTGACCGGTGTAGAATCCTTGCTCTGTATGTGCCACCATGTACTGGGTTCTGTGGTGTGCAGTTGTACAGTGTGGGGACACAGAAGTTTCTGGAAGAGCCACCCCATCACTGGTCTCACAGAGCTCCCCATGACAGGAGAGACATGGCCATGGACGTGTGCTCTGAGGGTGAGGGCCCCATCCTGCCGCCTCTACACCCTGTCTTGCCACTCCCCACCTCAGATTCTGTGCTGAGCGCCTCCGCTCCCTCCTGCATACCTTGGAGATCGCAGACCTTGCCGACTTCTCGCCACTCACCCTCCTCGCTAACTTCGCCACCCTCGTCAGCACCTATGCCAAGGGTGAGCCTGCCACCTCCTGCCCTGCCGACCCCTGGCAGCAGCTGGGGCCCTGGCCGTGTCCAGAGCATTGACAGCAGGGGCTTGGGCATGCGGGGCCCTGTAGGATGGGCTTGAGGTTTGGTCCTATTTTATGTCTTTGAGGGAGTGACCCTTGTGCCCAAATTTGTATTCCCAGAGGCTCCTTCGGTCCGCAGAGTGAAGTGTGAGGTGGGTCCCAGTGTGAGACAGGGTAGAAAGGTGCCACAGGCCTGGCCCACCCTGCACCCGAGGGTGCTGGGGAGCCATGGGCAGTCCCAGGTCAGATTTGTATGTCAGAAGCATTCTATGTTAGGGACTGGAGGTAGCAGTCGGGTGGAGGCAGGGACCTGAGCAGGGTAAGGGACCACGGGCCCAGTGGAAGGGATTGTTTGGAGAAGAAAGAGACCTGGGGGTGAGGAGCAGAAGAGGGTGCTCTGGCCTGCAGTGGGGGCAGCTGTGGTCAGGGCTCTGTACCCTCCTCAGTGTTAAGCTGACGGAGCTCAGTCTGATCCCTGCGGATTACTGGTCTAGCCAGGAAACCAGGTCAGGTGGGTGGGAGGACGGAGGCTGTGTCACACAGGTGTGCTCAGGCACACAAGTGCACACACGCGCACACCTGGGCCATCCGCAGTGCTCCTTTCTGGTGGCTGCCTCCTCTTCCCTTGTCACTCTCCCTCCCCATTTCCTGTCTGCAACAGGCTTCCCACCTTGGTCATCCCCTGCTGTGTCCTCTCATCCTCCCTTCTCAGCTCAGCAGAGAGGCCTCCTCCCTGACCCACGGGCTGCTCTGTCCAGCTCGGCTGGATGGGGATGGATGGCCTCCCTACCCCATAGCCAGCCCAGCAACACTGTGTCCTCAGCACAGGCCCCGGACAGATGACTTGATTTTATTAAGTACAGCTGAACATTGAGCAGACACAGCAGGCCCAGTGCTGCAAAAATATCCCCAAAACCCAACACCCTCACCTGTAGCCTCTTGCAAGTTAAGTTCTAGGCGGGAGAACCAGTAACAAGGACTCAAACAAATACGGGTACCAGTTACAGAAAATCACAGGCTGGCCTGGGCTGCCCGGAGGAGGCTGTTTGAACAAAGTCCCTTTGAACAAACAGATTGCCCTGGGACGCTCCCCAGGCTGTGCACAGGGTCAGCGGGGAGCGAGGTGGAGATGAGGGTGCTCTGCTGGGCCCTGGATCCTGGACCTGGAGGCCAATTCTGGAACCCTGGACAGGAAAAGGCAGGATCTGAGGGGACCCCATGGGTCTCTGTGGCTGCTGTTCAGGAACAGAGCCAGTTGGGGCAGGGGGAGCCATGGACTTAAGGTGGCTTTCCAAGCGCAGCCACAGTACTCCTGGTTACTGGGGTGGTGGGGGTCCTGGGGTCCTCTGGATGCCCCCTGAATGCTGGCAGAGCATGGGAGCTGAGCCCTGGCTGCCCATGCACCTGTGCACAGAGGTGAGCGCTGCAGAGCAGACCAGGCAGGGATGGGTGCGTTCAAGACGAGGGCTGGGTTGGAGGCTGGAGCGGCAGGGCTCAGTCCTGTGTATTCACCGGGACGAGGGCTGGGTGTGGTTGTGGTCACAGTGATGCCCTCTCCTGCCCCATAGGGTTCACCATCATCATTGAGCCCTTCGACGACAGGACCCCGACTATTGCCAACCCTGTCCTGCACTTCAGGTGGGACCCCGGCCTGAGGGGGCGGGAGTGGCCCTGGGGGCATTCTGGCCTCCTGGCTTGGGCCTCAATGCTGTGTCTGCTACTGCAGCTGCATGGATGCCTCGCTGGCCATTAAACCTGTGTTCGAGCGCTTCCAGTCTGTCATCATCACCTCTGGGGTGAGGACCCTTCCTCTCCCCCAAGTCCCCAACCCTTCACCATGGGGGTCCTGCTCCCTGCCTAGTGATGCTGAGAACCCTCTGCTGTCCCCACTGTAGACACTATCCCCGCTGGACATCTACCCCAAGATCTTGGACTTCCACCCCGTCACCATGGCAACCTTCACCATGACGTTGGCCCGGGTCTGCCTCTGCCCCATGGTGAGTGGGAGGATGGTGAGGGGCTGCCTTCGGCTTCCTGGGCCCAAGGGGGCTCCTCTGTGAGGTGGGAATGTCACCTGGTCTCTGGGGCCTGGGAGAGGATTTAGAGATAAAGGTGTGAAATGCTCACATTGCCCAGGCCTGGCAAAGAAAGAGGAGCCTGCTGAGCAGTATGCCCCCCAACCCCAGCGGGGTCCGGGCAGCCCTCTGGCCACAGTCCTCTTCAAAGGGGTTTTTGTTTTGTTTTTTGAGACAGGATCTCAGTGCACAGACTGATCTTGAACTGTCTATGTACCCCAGGCTGACCTCCAACAAAATGATTTTCCTGCCTTAGCCTCCTAAGTGCTAGGAATAGTGCTGGGATTACACTATGCCTGGCCACGTTTCAAAGGGCTCTGAGGAGGGCTAAGTCACCAGCACTTTGGAAGGGTCACACAGAGGGGTGAGCCAGGCCGCTACACTCTTAGGGCAGGCTTTTTTTTACTGGCTTTGTGCCATGCTTAGAAGAAAAAGTTTTCTGAGCTCCTGCTTTTTGGAATTGCTGTCCGGACCTGTGGACTGGTGGTGACAGTGTTCAGGAACTGGCTGGCCTGAGACCTGGTTGACCGGAGCGTGGCTGCGGGTGAGGACCAAGGCCAGGCTCAAGTTCCATTCTCTCTGGTGCTGATTTGCTGTGTGACCTTGGGCAGGTAACCCACCTACTCTGAGCCTGGTCATTTGTGCACATGCTGCAGGTGAGAGGTGGCTGAGGGCTCACTAGTGACGCTGACGCTTTGTGGCCAGAGCGCAGGTTGGCAGCGCCTAGGCTACTGCTTTATTCATCCTGGTCTTTTGCTCACTCCAGATCATCGGCCGCGGGAATGACCAGGTGGCCATCAGCTCCAAATTCGAGACCCGGGAAGATATTGGTACAAAGCCTGGGGTGCCGTTTGTGGGTCCCCAGAGGAGAGGTGTCAGATTGGCAGGGTCATGCTGCCACCAATGGTCCTAACAGAGTTTTCCCTTGCTCTGGGTGCCTGTGTGTCGTGGGGCGCCTGGGAACAGTGACAGGCCTCACGTGACTGCAGCGGATTGTGGCCTGGCTATTAAGGGTACTCACCCCCAAGGTCATTGGCTGTGACAAGTCACTTAGCCACTGCTATCTTCAGAGGCCTGGGAGGAGGGTGGGGTATGTGGGAGCTGCTCTCTGCACAGCCTCAGTGGAGTGGCGGGAACCCCAATTTCAAGTCAGGAAGTGGGGGGAAGCCCCGGGCAGGAGAGGTTCCAACCCCCCACCCCCACCCCACAGCGGTGATCCGAAACTACGGGAACCTCCTGCTGGAGATGTCGGCCGTGGTCCCCGACGGCATTGTGGCCTTCTTCACCAGCTACCAGTACATGGAGAGCACCGTGGCCTCCTGGTACGAGCAGGTGCGCAGCCTCCCCTGGCCCTGGTGTCTTCTCTGCTTGTCTTCTCAGTGGTGGATGCATGTCGTGATGGGACAGCGTCTGGGACACGTGAGCCATTCATGGAGTTAGTGGCAGTCACCTCCATCCCTGCCCCGCCAAATTTGGAGCTCTGACAGAGGCAACTGCACCCCCATTCCGTGGTCCTTTTGGGGTTCCCTGTGCCTGTGCCCCAGCACGTGCCGCTTGTGTGACACACTGCTGTTAGGGAACGTGTTCCGCAGCCAGGGTCACCCCAGCTGGAGACTCCATCTCTGGCTCCTGTGCCAGCCTCCAGCAGGGCAAAGCCCTGCATGGCTGCCCGGTGAACCAGGCTGGTCCGGCGTCAGGGACCTCGGGGCTGACTGGGAATTGCGCCCCTCCCACCCCAAACACGGGCTCTTTCTGTACAGTGAGAAAGAGGTTCCTCGTGGTCATCTGGGCCCAAGAGCCATTTGTGTCCCACTTAAGACCCCAACTTTAGGAGCCTGGGGTTTAGCTCAGGGGTACAAGTGCCTGCTTAGCAAGAACAAGGTCGTGAGTTCAATCCCTGGTACCAAACCAAAAAAAAGAAAAAAACCCTGAGTTTCCTCCCAGCAGTCTGAGGCCCTTGCTGGCCTGTCTCTCATCTTGGGAAGGTGCAAAGTGGGGTGAGGTCATCATTTTCCATTTGTAGCCCCACTTGCTTCCATGCCATTTACTAAGAGGGCTCTTGGCTGCTGAATGCACATGGGGTCCCCAGTTGGCCCCTATGGCTGCAGGGCTGGGTGTGAGCTCGGCAGCCTCTCTTAGGCACTGTCTGGCCCAGTCAGCCACAACCCCAGGCCCGGTTGTCCTGGGCCATATGCCCGCCCCACTGACCTGGTGACTGGGGCCACCATCCCTTCCTTCCCTGTGACTCAGTTGGGCAGGCCCTGGCTGAGAGGCGGCCCTCATACGGAGCGGGTGGCAGGGCAGGCTTGGTCAGGGCGGCTATTCCCGAGCCCTGTCAGCCTCGCCCTGTCCTGTCCCTCCCCAGGGTATCCTGGAAAACATCCAGAGGAACAAGCTGCTGTTCATTGAGACCCAGGATGGGGCTGAGACCAGCGTCGCCCTGGAGAAGTACCAGGAGGTGGGTATGGGGGTGGGGATGCAAGATGCTGAGGCGGAGCAGGGCGACATGGCCTGCACTTTGTTCCCCACTCCAGGCCTGCGAGAATGGCCGTGGGGCCATCCTGCTGTCTGTGGCCCGTGGCAAGGTGTCCGAGGGCATCGACTTTGGTGAGTGGGCCTGGCCTCTGCCCTGGGGTCCTGCAGCACAGCAGCAGGGACCACGTTCGCCCCTAACCCTGCCCTCTGCTGCAGTGCACCACTACGGGCGGGCTGTCATCATGTTTGGCGTCCCCTACGTCTACACCCAGAGCCGCATCCTCAAGGTGCGTGTTGGGCCAGACACAGCCACAACGGGAAGTAAGGGTGGCATGGGAGGGCAGGACAGCTTCCCACCAGTCCTCGCCCCGACCCGCAGGCGCGACTGGAGTACCTGCGGGACCAGTTCCAGATCCGAGAGAACGACTTCCTCACCTTCGACGCCATGCGCCATGCGGCCCAGTGTGTGGGCCGAGCCATCCGGGGCAAGACAGACTACGGCCTCATGGTCTTTGCCGACAAGGTAGGAGCCTGAGCCCTGAGCCACCTTCCCAAGACCGGCAGCTCGAGGGCAGGGACAGCTGGGCTCCCTAGCCCACAGCCTGTCACCGTCTCCCTTTCGCCACAAGCGCTTTGCCCGGGCAGACAAACGGGGGAAGCTGCCGCGCTGGATCCAGGAGCACCTCACCGACGCCAACCTCAACCTCACGGTTGATGAGGGAGTCCAGGTGGCCAAGTACTTCCTGAGGCAGATGGCACAGCCCTTCCACCAGGTGAGCCTGCCACCACCCCCTTGCCACAGCCCCGCCAGCCAAGAGTGGGGAAGGCTGGGGAGCTGCCCCGTCCCTTGCTCTCTTCTGCTTCAAGGATGCATACTGGTTTTAACCACATTTCCAAATTCCCATTTCCTGGCTCCTCCTAGCCCTGAGGTCTTAGATTGTGGGTGCCCGATGGCTGCTGTGGAGCCGCTGTCTGAGTCCCCACTGACACCTCCCTCCCTGTCCTCTGCAGGAGGACCAGCTGGGCCTGTCCCTGCTTAGCCTGGAGCAGCTGGAGTCAGAGGAGATGCTGCGGAGGATAGAGCAGATCGCTCAGCAGCTGTGAGGGCAGGCGCAGCACGGAGGCGTCCAGGTGACTCTGAGTCTACTTTTTTTTTTGAGACAGGGTTTCACTGTGTAGCCCAAACTGACCTTGAACTCACTATGTGGCCTAGGCTGAATTCTAGGCAGTCCTCCTGCCTCAGCCTTCCAAGGCCTAGGATTACAAGTGTGCCCACCACGCCCGGCCTTTTGTCTCCCAGGCCTTGTCTGGCTCAGAGGTCCCCTGACTGGGGCTTGGCGGTCCTGGCAGAAACCCTCAGGTGGACATTCCTCATTGCCACATCTACAGAATTTAATCACAGGAAGGGTAGACAGGTGGAAGCCTACTGTAGGGGCCCATGGTGTGCACAAGATGGATGCCACCCACTCCTGAAGCTGCAGTGCAGTGCAGTGACTTGGTCCCATCCACCTTAGCAGGGGCTCAGGTCTTGGGTGCTGGCGCTGAAGGTCCGAGGGGCCTTACCCAGGGGTCGACTGGGTAGCTGGGGACAAGCACAGAGATGAGCAGGGGCAGGCAGAGCTCTGCTGGGCCTGTGCCTGTGCCACCCCAGCCTGGCCACATGTCCCCTCACCTGAGTCCCTGCAGCAGCCCGCCCGTCCATGTTCAGCATGTTGAGTGACATGGCTCTCTTCATCCTGCAGCGCAGGGGCCAAAGAAGAGACATGTGAGCCCCAGGAATGTGGGGCCCCGCCCTTGCAGAGAGGACACAAGAGCCCCCTTAGCAGGACGTGCTGCAGACTGTGCCTATATCAGGGCTCTCTGGGCCTCAGGCAGCACTCACCCCGCCACCCCTGAAGCGCCCTCGCCCCGGAGCCGGGAGACCAGCTTCTCACTGCCCCGCCGGATGGATTCCCGAAGCTTGGAGAAGGAGCTGCTCCGAGGCAGGGCCTGCGGATGGTGTGGGGGGCACTGGTCGGTTCCACCACCTAGGCACGATCAGTTTCCACCCCGGAGCCCAAGCTGAGCCCTTCCTCACCTGCTGTTTCCCATCACTAGCTGTGCCTGGGCTGGGAGCTCCTGAGGGAACATAAGGCGATGTGAGGTGGGGACAAGGCCCAGAAACCCCTTGGGCGGCGGCAAGAAGGGTGTGGCTCACCCAGTGGGGCGCGCAGGTCCTCAGGGCGGAGGATCTCCTTGTACAGCTCCTCGGCCTGCTGGTACTTGTTCTGCTTCAGGTAGGCAGAGGCCTATGGAGGGCAGGGTGGGCACTGTGGCCTCTCAGGACTCTCAGGACCCCTGCCCAGCAAGTACCTCCTCCTCAGGGGGAAGCCAGGCTCCCTAACCCCCTACAGCAGACACCCCACCCGTGTGGGCTGGAGCCTTGCTGGACTCTGTGCCTGAGGGACCAGGGCAGGTGGATTCCTGTCGCTCTTCTCCATTGGCCAGTGACACACCTCAGTGCCTCAGTCTCCTCCTGTGCCAGCTGGTCGTGACCATAGCTCCACCTCAGAGGGTGAAGGGCTAAGGATGGGACTACCCATTGTGAACTAATAAAGATCTGGGCCGCACTGTCCTGGCCACCTTGCTAGCTTGCTCTGCACCTGGTGCTCTGTCCTCAGTGCCCTGCTGGGACAGCTCCCAGGTGACTTGCCCTCCCAGTGCTTGTCCCATTCCACAGGATACCCAGGGGCAGGAACCGTCAGCCACTTGCACCCTGTGGGCCTTACCAGGTTGCTTTTGGTCTTGGCCACATTGGGGTCGTGGGGCCCCCCCACGGCCTCATAAATGCTCAGGGCCCTTGCGAAGTACCGCTCCACATCCTCAAACTTGCCCTGGTTCTGGCAGAGCAGGGCCAGGTTGTTGAGCTGCTTGGCTACATCCGGGTGGTCGGCGCCCAGGACCTGGGATTGGGGTCATAAGGGGTCACTGGGCCACATGTTGTTGGTGCCATGGTGGGGGTCATGAGTTTGGGGTTGGCACATCAATGTGGAGAGTAACATGGGGTGGGGGTGCAGAGATCAGAGGTCACATGGTCCAGAAACCCTAGGGTTACTGTGTCAGAAGGACAGATCAGGTAGGGGTCGTAATGGTCACATGGAGTTGGAAAGGCAGGGCTGGTCGGGCTGAGGCACACGAGGGGAAGAAAGGTCAGCCTGAATCAGACCACATGGAATTCAGAAGCTCAAGGGTGTCAGGTCATGCAGCTGGGGGCTCACGACCAGACGCACCACCAGGGTCCGTGTGGGGGACCAGGACAAAGACAAGGGTCCTGTGTGGACCAGGGTCTGTAGGGCACAAGGGCCACACCTTCTCCCGGATCTCCAGGGCGCGTTGGCACAGGGGCTCCGCCTCCCGGTACCGCCCACGCTTCCCGTAGAGGACCGCCAGGTTGTTGAGGGTGGCAGCCACCTGTGGGTGAGGGGCCAGCAGGGGTTAGAGGTGGGCAGGAGTGGGCCGCCCTGTTCCCACAATCCCACTTACCGCAGGATGCTCCGGGCCCAGGGTCTGTTCCCGGATCTGCAGGGCATCGTGGAGGAGGTCAGTGGCTTCCTTATACTTGTTCTGGTCCCTGCAGGGCATGGGTGGAGGGGGTGGGCCATACTGGGGTCACAGGCTAAGCTGGGCAGCCTTAGGTGCCCAGTTTAAAGCTCTCAAGACTTGGACAAACCTCTGTTGGGAACCCCACTCTAGTTTGTTCTGCCGTACTGGGGATTAAGCCCAGGGTCTTTGCAGTGAGCTACATCCCAGCTCTCTTATTTGAGACAGGGTCTCGCTAAGTCCCCCAGGCTGGACCCGAACTTGTGCCCCTTCTGCTGCAGCCTGGGGTTGCACCATGCCTGGCTCTGAGTATTTTCTGCCTCAGGCTCAGCCACTCCCCTAGATCTCCAGCCCTCTCTCCCCCACTTTCCTGTTACCATTCCATCCTCCATCCCACGGCCACCCCAGGTGCTTTGTAATGAAAGAGGGGACATCAGGGTCCCCCAAGTGTCATTAGCATCAGTCCATTGTCCAGCCAAGTACAGTCCTCACCGGTATACCAGGGCCAGGATGTTGAGCATGGTGGCCACGTCAGGGTGACAGTGGCCTGAGCTGCGTTCCAGATCTTCCAAGGCCTGGCGGCACAGAGGCACAGCAACCTCGTAGCGGCTCTGGGCCGCGTACTGGATCACGAGGTTGTGCAGGGTCCGAAGTCGGGCAGGGATCTCGTAGCCACCCTGTTGTGCTGCCGCCACCCCTGCTGCCTCGGGACCTGGCGGAAGTGGCACTGGGTCACTGCTGGCTTCTGTCCACTATAGCAGCTTTGCTGGGACTGGGGGGCCTGAATTGACTTTGCTTTCTGTTCTAAGCATTGAATATAGGACCTTGCACTGAGCTATGTCCCCAGCACTACCCCCCCCCCCAATATTTTTGTGATGGGTCTCACTGAGTTGCCCAGGCTGGGTTCAAGTTTGCCATCTTCCTGCCTCAGCCTCCCAGAGTGCTGGGATTACAAGTGAAGACCACCATGCCCCAGCTCCTGCTCTGACTTATGAGATGGGAATCACAGGCATGTACTTGGCTGGTGGGAGGTGTCCTGGCAGAGGGACAGAAACCCCTGGCCACCTGCCGGGTGGGAAGTGAATTAGGAGGCACCTGGCTCGCAGGGTCAAGGTCATAGGGCCCACCGCCTCCCTGCCTGCTCTCTTCCCTCGGTGCCACCAGCCACCTGCTTGGTCCTTCTGACCTCCTCCCATCTAAGGCCCAGAGATGTTGGGGGCCAGCCTCAGTCTGCTGTCCTGCACCACTGCATACCCACCTTTCTCCTCCTCGCTGGGGAACAGGGAGGCCAGACTGTCTCTGCGAGGGGGCGACTCTGGCCGCTGTAGAGGAGAGGAATGGGGGGCTGTGAGCCTGGGGCTTGTCTCAGAGATGGGGACCTGACCAGCCCTTTCAGGGAGCTGCTGATCTGGAGGCTCTGGTTTCAGAGGCTTAGGGGTTCCTTTGGAGTTCTGATGGGCCTGGCAATTTGAGCTCCTGTAGTGGCTGAGGGTCGGGACTCTGGAGGGTTAGGGATGGAGGGTGCTAAGAAGGGTCTGAGGGGCCCTGCCCCACTCCACCGAAGCACCTGGCTCTCCTCAGGTGGGTCGTATTGCCGCAGCTGCCCCAGGAACTGGAGGTGGCTCTTCTCCTCCTCCAGCTGGGCCACAGCTGCCTCACTGGCCCACAGCCGCTGCCTCGTCTCCTGCAGCTCCTCTCGCAGCCATGTGTTCTCCTGCGCCAGCCTCCGGGCCTGGGCCCGTAGCCGCTGCTTCTCGGCCTCCAGTGCGCCCACATGTGCTGACAGGGCCAGCAGCACCTTGGGTGTGGGGAGCCACCAGTTCCAATCCAGCCAGTCAGCCGTGGCCTAGCCTAGGCCCCCCATCAGGCCATAGCACCCCGTCTATCCAGGACCCCCAGATTCTGCAGAGACTGCTGTGTGGCTCCAGGGATGCCTAGGGGCCCTGGACCCCTCTGGTGTCACTCCTGTTCCACCCAGGACACTCAATTCTGTGAGGAGTACATCTGGTTTGGGGATGCCTAGGACACACAAAAGCACCTAGCTGGGGATGGTGGTGCACACCCATAATCCCAGCACTTTGGGAGGCTGAGGCAGGAGGTGCCAGTACAAGTCCTGCCTGTGTTATGTGGTGAGACCCTATCTCAAGAGAAAAAATATAACAAGGGCTGGGAACACAGCTTGGCAGTAGAGCACTGTTGGGTTCAAGCCTCAGTACCGCATACAAAGTCACCCCAGAATGCTGCCTGGAGACCCCATCTCTGGCCTGAAGTCTCATTCTAGGCCTCTGTTTCCAGACCCCCTCCTGCCCAGGCTTGCTGCCCTCTTCCCACGACTCAACTCCCTTCCCCAGACCTGGGCTCCCCCACCTGGCTACTCATACCTGGGCCTCACCCAGCCCGAGCTCGATGGCCTCCAGTGAGTGGCTCACCACCTGCTGCTTCTCTTCCAGCAGCTCCGAGCTGGCCACCGGGCCCTGTCTGGCCAGCGCCTCGCCTAGGTGCCCGGCCAGGGTACGGTGTTCCGTCCGCAGCGCCTCCAGCCCCTGCACTACCTGGCGCGTCTGCCGCACCAGCTCCTCCGGGTTCAGGCGCTCAGGGCCCAGCCCAGCGCCCCCGGGGGCTGCCACCTGCACCGACATGGCTACTCCTGGAGAGGGGGACACAGGGATGGAGGAGTCATTGCCAGGACGAGGCCAGCCCATTCCCAGCTGCGGACCCCTAACTGACCCTCTTCCAGCTTCCCACCTATCACCCATCCAGGCCGCGCCCCTGCCACCACGCCCTGTCCATCTCGGCCAGCTGCCTGGCCCCACACCTGGACCCGCCAGCGCTCATCCGGGAACATCCCAGTCTACCTGAGTTGGTTCTGGGAACAGCGCTGTCCTGACCACAACTCCAAAATCCTTCTATGTGGGGTGAACCAAGAGGGCACGCAGCGGGTTCCAGGTGCCCCCACCAGCCTCGCCTCACCCAGGCGGCCCTCCCCACCCCCAGGTCCCCAGACGCCCCGTCCGGTGGGAGGGGAGGGCGGGCAGCGCTTCCTCCGCTGGGCGTGCGGGGCGGGGCGAGTGGAGGCGGCCGCCTCCCTCCCCGTGAGCTCATTCCTAGGGTGCTTTTGTTGGGAACCAGTCCGGCCACTGAGGGTGGGGACTAGGGGAGGGCCAGGGGCTGGGCTTCGGAAGCCGGAGAGGCTCTAGGTTGGGGGATAGGAGGAGGCTCCCCGTGCTGTGGGCCTGACAGACCCTGAGGGCACAGGGGCTCCACCCTCCACCACAGGTTGCTCCCCTGGCCCAAAGCCTGTTGGGGCACACGTGTGGCAGGCGTGGCCCACCCACGGCACAGTTGAAGGTCTGAAGCCTTCTATTGGGTGGAGGTCTGGCGGCGGGGGGGGGGGGGAGATTTGCGTAGCTGTGCGTGGGTGACCTGGTCAGATGCGTAGCTAGGGTGCCTTTGAGGTCCTCCATGGCGCCTAGGCTCCTCAGAGACACACCCACACACCCTCAGTGACATAACATAAAATGCACCTCTCTCAGAAATGCACCTCTTACACACACATCTTTCCCTCATTAGAAATTCAACATAGGCTGGGGATATAAATCAACAGCATGGCCCCTGCCTGGCATGTGTGAGGTCCTGAGTTCGATTCCCAGTACCAAAAAAAAAAAAAAAAAAAAAAAAAAGAAAAAGAAAAAGAAATCAACATAATACACATTTTGTCTTAGAAATACACCCATACTTTCTTCTCTTAAAAATACAGCTCTTAAAACAAAACAAAACAAAAACAATCGCACTTAAACCAAGTGTGGTGGCACATACCTGAAATCCCAGTACTCAGGAGGCTGAGCCAGGAATAACTTATGAGTTCAAGGCCCTTAGGGGCTACATAGTAAGTTCAAAGCCAATCTGAACTATGTAGCGAGACCCTGTCTCTATACAAAACAACAACAACAACACAACAAAAATACTGCTCTTAGCCAGGTGTGGTGGTGCACACCTGTAATCCCAGCACTTGGGAAACTGAGGCAGGAGAATTGTCATGAGTTCATTGCCAGCCTGGAACACATACTGAGTTCAAGGCCAACTTGGACTACATAATGAAACCCTGTCTCAAAAAACAAAAAAATAAACGAGCAAAAAATACAGCTTAATGTTGGATATAGTGGCATTTGCCTATAATATCAGTTACTTGGAGGGCTGAAGCAGAAGATTACAAGTTTGAACCCAGCTCAGGCAAATTATGGAGACCTTCATCCTCAAAACAAAAAATAAAGGGACTGGAGATGTAGCTCTGGGGAAAAGTGATCAACTAGCATGTACCAGGCCCTGGGTTCAATCCCTGATACTTCAAAACAACAACAGTTCAACATAAACTTAATATACTTCCACATTTTCCTTCCAGAAATACAATCTAATGCCACACAGCAGCCCAGGAATACACAGATATTTTCCTGTCAGAAATAATAACAGAAAAGAGCTGTACACTTCTCTCTTGGAAATACAGCCTAATACACAAATATATTCTCTTGGCAATAAAAGCCAGACAGGTATAGAACATTCTGTAACCCTAGAATTTGGGAAGCTGAGGCAGGACGATTTCTGCTAGTTCTAAATCAGCCTGGGCTACATCGTGGGTTCAAGGCCAGCCTGAACTATGTAGTGAGACTCTGCCACACACAAACAGACAAGATAGAAAAGCCAACACAGAAACTTACCTCCCCCATAGCCCTTACCTCCTAAAATATAACTGAATCCCATCATGGCTGGACCATCTCCCTGGTATCCCCCACTCTCTCCCCTACACTCACTCACTCACAAGAACCCCTGAAACAGCCAACCCCCAAGCAGCCTGAGCCCCTCCAAAACACCGAGGGTTTCCTGTGAAGGCTCCAGCTTTCTTTAACACCCATCATTTCCACCCAGGCCTGGCCAGCAGGGATGCACACACCTACTCTGTGCACACACAGACACACACGTGCAGGTGGGTGGAACTTAGACTCCTTACACTGTTGGTGGGTATGTGTGGGTGTCCTTGTCTCTACCCAGCTGCTTCTCAGGCAGCTTCACAGGAGCTGTGTCCACACCTTGGATATCAGTGGCCACAAATGGCTCCCCTGTGCACAGGTACACACATGTGTGTACACACGCTCTTCAACTGTGAAGAGTCCTGTCCCCACAGCCCAACAGGAACTGAAAATATCCGAGCCTGAAAATGCATCGTATTCGTTGCTTCCCCTCCTGATCCCGGGCTGGATGGGAGCTGTGTCATGGCCACTGCCTGGCATCAGGAGAAATGACTGTGACACATATTGGTGGCCCAGGAAAAGACCAAAATTCACTTTCTAGTGAATCCACTTCGCTCCCACACCATCAAGCCAGAAGTCTAAGCAGAATCGCTGGAAAGCAGCTACTGTATGGATCTGGGCCCTTTCTGTAGAAGTTTGTGTCGCACCTCACTCGAGCTGCATAAATGACAGTCATCAAGAGCCATCCTGGCACTACAAACACTATCGCCCAGTGTTGCCATGGAACAACCTCCCCCCCAACCACCACCATGTCACACACAATGTCAGCCATAGTTGACACCTGGGATCCACATGGACAACCCCAGCCCTGCATCACTCAGTTGTGTGTCTCCCCCCCCCCCCTTAAAGATGCAACTTTGCTATAAAGCCCATGCTGGCCTCTTTTTTTTTTTTTTTTTTGTCTTTTTTGGTACCAGGGACCCAACTCATGACTGCCTGCAGGCGCTTATGCCGCTGAGCTAAATCCCCAGCCCCTCCATGCCTCCATGCTGGCCTCTTACTCGACATCCTCCTTAATGCTCAGATTACAGGTGGGCGACACCACACCTGGCTCCATCTTCCACACTTAGCCCCACACCAAGTCACCACTGCACATTCCCAAAGCAGTCACCCAGATCTCACCACCCCACAGTCTCATGCACACCTCCACACCTCTGTCACCCAGCCCATTTCCACACATGGGCCCATGGCACAGCCCAGCTTCTAGATAGCCCTGGTGGCTCATGCAGCATCACAGTGATACTCAACCAGAAAGTCCGTTGTAGGCACTTATCGCTGACCCACCTAGTGCCACCCTACAGCCCTCCAGTACGTGCCATGCTCCTGGCAGAAAGACTTTCCAGCACACACCTAATCTTTGGGCAGTGCTACCACTAGTCACCCACACAGCCACACGTACACTTGAGCCTCAAGCCCAAAGCTGACCAAGGTCACATGATCTCTGTGTCACATACACAAAGTCCTATAAACAGTCCAGCTCCCAGCACACAGGCATGGGTGCACCTACACAGGTCCACTACAGACACGCAGCAGGTCACCCATGACATTCTGTCCCGGCTCCTTCTCACAGGTCACACCTGCGCCCAGCTCCCTGTCACACCGACAGTGTCACAGTCTGACACCCTCTCCCTGTCCTGCACACACCCCAGAATTTCAAACACCATCTTCCACAATCCCTGGCAGGTTTCCATCAGGTCCCCCCCAAACGAGGCCACCTCACCCCAGCCAGCCAGCAGCGCACACCCCGCCTCCCAGCCTGGCAGACGTTTGCCAACCCTCCAGGGCACCTCTTCCCCCACCCCGCTCCTGTTTACCTGCGCTCTGGGAGGGCCGCGGACAGCAGCTGTCCAGACCCTGGGGTTTCCTAGAGTGGGACGTGGGGCGTCCTGCGCCCCAAGGCCTGACCCCATCGCCCCGCGTGAGGATTCCTCTCGGGTGCAACAAGCCCAGTCGGTGCCCCAGCCCGAGCCCGGGCTGCAACCCCCACCGCCCCGCGGCTCCCCAGGACCTCGCGCCCCTTCCCGCAGCGCCCACCTGGCTGCGGATGGTCCCGCACGGCTCGGCCCGGCCGGCGCACCGCGTCCCGCTGGCCCCGCCGGCCCCGTCACGCCCCGCCGCGCCGCGTCTGTGCCCTGGCTGCTCCTCCGGGGCGTGGCTTCCATAGGCCACGCCCACAGGTGAGGTCGGTCCCGCCCACCGCCTTAGGAAAGCCAAGCCGGCTTCTCGACCCCCAGGCATCGCAGAACCTGACTGGAGCCCTCTCGGTGGAGCCTGGAATCCGAGCCGGAGGTTGGAAACTGCAGCGCTGCAATCTTAAAAACTTGGAATCTTGAAAACTTTGGGTCCAGGACCGACGGTCCTTTGCTCCCGTTGTGCCCCTCTTCTACGGATCCCTTCCTTAGTCCTGTCTCTTCTCAAAGTCTCCTTCTCCGAGAGGTCTTCCCTGATCGTCGCTATGTAGTAGATAATTAATTATTATTTTGCACTTTTGGAGACTGACCCCGGGAGCTCCGTCCTGAGTTACATCGCCAGCTCTTTTTATTTTTTGAGTCGGGGTCTCACTGTGTATAAATTGCCCTGGCTGCGGCTGGAACTTGCAATTTTTCTGCCTCAACCTCCCAGATCCTAGGATTACAGACCTGACCCACCGAGCCCAGCTCCTTGCTTCTGCGTTTCATGGGACCTTCTTAACAAAACAGTTTTGTCCTGCTTCGTTTTGTCCACCGAAGTTTTCAGACCTTGAAATAACTTAATGTAGCACATTGCACTAGTATGTTGTATCACATAACATACACATATTACATTGTTGGTGAGAGAACATAACGCCTAGGAAGTGGGCTCTGGGTTCCCGTGTGATTTCAGCACTCAGTGGTTGTGCTGCCTGAGGCAAGTTGGTTAATCTCTCTGTACCTAGATTTTCCTCATCTCTCAAATGGGTATAGGCAAAGGCTGGGAAGATTGAATTGGTTAGTGCGTGTGAGTGTGTGAGTGTGTATGTGTGTGTGTGAGTGTGTATGTGTGTGTTTTAGTCTTAGCGACTGCCTTACTATAGTCATTGGTTGCTTTTACCCTCCACTGCAGTGGTTCCTGTGGGCGAGGTTCTGTATTGTCAGCTGTGATTCTTTAACAGCAGAACAAAGCCCGGCGTAGCGAAGGTGCTCAAGACATTTTTGGGGTGACAGACGGAATGAATCAAGTCCTAGAATTGAGAAATAGCCAAAGCTGGCTTCGCAGAATTTCGGTTTCCTAGAACTGGAATTCACGCGAACTTGAACCTCTCCCGACCCGCGGTTACTGCACTATAGGACTCTTCCAGCAGAGGGCGCAGCTGGCCCGTGGACCCGGCTTCCAATGCCAGCGTCTCTAGCCACATCCTGCGTGGCAGCCAACCTGTCCTCCACTGCCCTATTTAAATCCAGCGCAGATGCCTTCTCCTCCAGGAAGGCCTCTCTAAGCTCCTCA